GAACACCTCAGAGACTTTACTGTGTTGTGTATTTCCAGTGGTCAAGCCAGCTCACCTGAAGATTGGTGATGCATCCACAAACGATCGAGCCATGCTGCAGTACCTCAGTTTGCTTTTGTTTCATAAATAAATTTAGTTCATCCAAAAAAAGCCATGTAAAAGTTACATTTTATGAACAGGCCACAACATGCTCTTGTTCCTCTTTTTGGAACATTTTTATCTTGGCTGAGCGGATTGGCTGAGCTATGGTTGGTCTCTTTTTTACGGATGAAACTGTAGTAAAGATAGGATAGAAACCAAAAAACATGAAAAACTGGTGAAACTCTTTTGACAGCTAGGAAGTTGTCACATGGATTCTAATACATAGATATGTTTTTTTTTACTTTCAAAATCAGGTACTCCAACCATTCATGACACTTATTTTCAAACCCATTTTCTACCAACTCTTTATTGATTCCCACATGTTTTATGCCAGTATTTGTATTCCTCCTCGGTGTAGGATAAATGAATTGGTTTAAAAGCACTATTGTTTGTATCATTGTTTCCACCCTTGAGACAGGATCCAATAAAAGAAAGAGATTTTGAAAGGCTGCAGTTGTGATCGCAGAAAACGTGACATCTCTGGCACAGCTGTTCCCAAAAGCCAGACAACAATATGGTCCTGCGAGAAGAATGAGGAGACACACAACGACGCTTCATCAAAATGACAAGGCACCGAATAAAACGCTGTCATTAGGGTTTTTACTCCGACACGTGTGTGACTGATCAGCCAAAGAACTGATATATCTTGTTTTGGATGAAAGGATGGGTCAACAAGAACATTTATTTTTCCATACAACCGTCAACTTAGTACTGTCAGTGTATCAAAGCTGTAAAAAGTACACGGTTTGTGAGTAAGCATCAGGGTAGGGAAATCCACATGTTTTTTGGCAGATTATTAGACGCATTGGTCATGTGGTCAAAACAGTTACAGTTGATCTTGAACATTTAAATCTACCATCATTAAGTGTTAAAAATCCCAAATCCCTCCAGGTCTGGAGCACAACATCTATATCTTCTATCAAAGTATATGCAGAAAACTAACCAGTTACTATGCAACATGTTTAACAGGAAAGTAGATTTTTATTTGTCTTAAACCAAAAGAAGCAACCCCTAAACAAATCTAATCTGTTCATTTCCTTTCCTATATAAGACATTTTTACAAACTGAAGTGATTTGTTTTTAATAGATGCACAAACAATGTGTTGTTAAATGAGTAGAACTCACCTCAAATTCCGCCCAACTCTAACTAAAAAAAAAACCAAGTTATAAGGAAGTCGGATGCATCAGTCACAGTTTGGCGCTTTCCCATTAGGCTTTCCAACCTGCATTCCCAAAGAAGGGGAGGGGGTCCTGAATTGGCGGGGCAGATCACCGAGACAGAGCCTTCATCTGCAGGGTACTTGGTGTGCCTATCATAATCTCATTCAATACCTGCTTAATTGACAATCTTTGTTGTGGTTTGAACACCTTCGTAGACTAGAAAAGCCCATGTAGAGCACAAACCTCAGCCCAGTTGCATTCCATAAAACAAATCTGGAGAGAGACCCATATCTGCGACAAAATATCTTTATTCCCATTTTCGAAGTTTTCCTGAAAAAACCCTCAAGCTCCAGTCTTCCTACAATCTGTCCACACCCATGCCTCTGATAATCAGTTCTTGCTTAGCTGTCAGCTCCTGCCACAACCCTCCTCCTCACCATCACCATCTCAACAGTGGGACATTTTAGTTATTGGCTCATAACTCCCGTTCCCAACAGTAGATTACTATAGACCTGGGGAAGATGGATTTCTATAATTTGAATGTCTAAATAGATTTTTTTGTTTTTTTGTATACAGTAAATTTTCTTGAGACAGCTCCTCAAAAAAATCCAAATAACGTGAACTATACTACGAGAGTTTTTACGAACATTATTTCAATATGATTTTTGACTAGACACTGTATCACTCTTTATAGAAACAATCCCAGCACCCACATTAACCTGGGTTGGGACTCATGATTTAATTGCTGACACTGAAGCTTCTGTCTCCTGCACCAAATGGGTCCCCCCTCGCAGGCTGCATCATCCATTATCATAAATCAGATGCGCCGACTCAGACAGGTGCAGCATGAATAATTAAAGGTCGCTACATTAGCACTTGCACCGAGGTATGTGCTGTAAAGCCTATGGCAGAGATCAGTCTAAAAGCACCGCAATACCCCTCCATCCACATTAGGAGTGCGTAATGTTGTGCAACTTTACAAAGGGCCGCTCCCATTGCGATCCCACCTCTTCACGTCGTCTAATTTTAACTCTGATGGAGAGGAGTCTGCAGGATACTCTTGGCTGGGGGGGTGGTTCGTCCTTTGCTTTCTATGATGGGCGGTGCTATCTCCAATGATTTTGCTCCACTCTTGTCTGAACCTGGGTGACTTTGTAATGGAGAGTCCAGGGAGCTGCAGGCGCGTACAGCAAAAGGTCTGTTCGAACACTGGGCTTATGCACCACCACTTCTCCTTTCTAACATTAATTACACTTGAGGCAAATGCACTTGGACTTCTGCCCAGTCAGAGATAAGACTTAACTGCAGACAAAGCAAAGGGAGAGCCAGGGAGAAGCAATCGTGAAGCCTCTCTCTATAGTTGCTCTATAGTTGGTTGAGAAGTTTTAAACAGAATTTAATTATACCCGAAACGTATGTATTTCAGAGGTAATTAGAGAATAGAATTTTGCTCATAAAAAGTCCATTCACCTCTGTAATTTAACACATTGCCCACACCACCTTTATTTGTTATTGTGTTGATAATTGTGGCTTGCCGCTTGTAAAAAGCCCAAAACAAACATTTTAATAAATTATACTATTTTGAAGATGGACTGTCAGCCAGAATCATCACGATTAAAACAAACAAAGGCTCGTAATATCACAAAAAAAAATCCAGTTTTACCTGTGACTAAACTCATACAACTGGAGTGGCAAACTTTTTTGTTTATTATATAAGTAGATTAGGTGGCCCTCTTTTTTCCTCATTTCTGTCTGAAATGTTTGGTGTAATACATTACTAACAAGGAACTAGTTAATTCTTTTGGGTTTGGAAGTCAGGTACCCCAGCTTTAAAGTGATATTCTTTAACTCTAAATTAATTACAAATTTTAGGAAATGTGTTAAATTGACCTCCTGGCCTTAAATGTTGATATAAAATAAGTCATTTTATTAATTCTAATATTATGGGCAAGTCCCGCCTTCCCTTCTCTTAGCTATAGCTCAGAATCCACGGTGCCGTCCACGTTAACCAATCGAGTCATGCCAAGGGCTGTCAATCATCGGCGCTGATGCTCGTAACTGCGCGCATGCTCATTTGTTTGTTTTCGCGGAACCTCCGAATCAGCCTCCATTAGGCTCTGGAACTACATGAAAACTGAACAAAGAATTCTGAACATCCGCGCTGAGTTACCCATTTATATACTGAACCTATATCTATAATCATTAATATACTGAACCTATAATTATTTATATACTGAACCTATAATTATTTATATACTGAACCTATAATTATTTATATACTGAACCTATAATTATTTATATACTGAACCTATATCTATAATCATTTATATACTGAAACTATATCCATAATCATTTATATACTGAACCTATTTCTATAATCATTTATATACTGAACCTATATCCATAATGAGATCCTCTGCAGTGTCCTATAATGTTCAATTCATGATAATAGCTCGTTCCGGGTTTGCCGCGATCGCTTTTTTTGTACATAAAATCATTATTTTTTTCATTAAAACGTTAACAAATAATTCTGAAAACTTCCGTGCATGTGTATTAATAATGTATATGTATAATGTGTTCTCTTATTAACATGTCAAAGTGTTACGGAAACGTAGGCGTAGACCAATCAGAAAGGATTTCTCTTTTTCTGACAAACTCCAGACAATCACTTTAAGCAGATAAATCTTGCAAGGACGATCATACCTAAAACTAGCCACATTCATACTGTACATGTTATTATTCACGCAGATCATGGGAAGAGTACATGTAAATGTAACTGTAAATGTAAGAAAAGTATGTATTTTTTTGTGTGAATTAGCCTGCTAGCTAATGGGTCATCATTTATTCCACTTAACAACCTTCAAGCCTAAATGTAAGTCTTGTTTTATATGTCAGACCAAAAAGAAACAAACAAAAACAAATTACAAAGACGATATAAAAATATACATCACATTTATTTGTACTGACACAGAGTGCGTACAGAGTTTTCTTTGTCTAATGATGTATTTGGGCACTACAGGTTCGCCTCCACTTCCTACTTCTCTTACAACCAACATTCACCGTCGACCATCATTAGCGCGGCGTTGCGTTACTGCTACCAAAGACAAAGTTTGACAAAGCTGACACACATCACTGTTTTTTTTTTGTTTTTTTTTTAAGGTAACACATGGTACAAAAACCCAGTCTGAAAAGAGAAAAGATTCTTGCTTTTGTAAAAAAATCTCCTCCTCGTATTTGAACAAAACAATGCACTTTATCTTTAAGCATCTGCTGCGTCATATTTTTGGCAGTCCAGGGTTACATCGGGCTGTTAAAGTAATCGCAAAAACAGGCCAGCTGATCCCTCTGTTATGAGCACCGCTGCTTTCCAAGACCTGTCCATGGTCAGCCAAGCTCGAAACCAAGCGCGTTCCATCTGGATACGGGGTTCTTATGTGATTTTGAAGTAAACAGTCAAACAGTTTTTTTTTTCCTCACAAAGTTCACTACAGTACAACAATACCGTCGTGATGGGATTCATGCCCTGATCTCATGAGTAGTGGAGAGAGATCAGGTCGCTGTTGTGGCTGTTTGAATCCCCTCAGGCGACGCTCGGCCCCGTGTGGGAGGGTTAAGGCCAAAGTTACGCAATCCAAGTGTCATAGGGGAGCAGAAGACTGGGTCGCTCCCTCCGAGGGCGAAAAGGTGGTACTGCGGCTTCACCACGACGCTAAAGGCACCAAGACCAACGACACGAGAGCAGTCCATGTGAGGCTCAGGGAGAGGAAATGCACAGAACACTGGTGGTTTTTCGCTCGAACGCCTGGAAGAAAAATAGAAATGTCTCAACATATCATGCATACTGAGGCTATGCAACGTTTCGTAGGTTATAGCTGCTAAAAACGTTGATTTATTCTGAAATTACAGGAGAACATGGTGTATGTGAATGGAAAGCATAATAATCAATGACAATTCAAAATGATTTTAGGAAGTAACTACAATTTATGTTTAGAAATACATGGTTTGAGGAGATGTAGCAGAAATAGGCACAAATGAATATTGGTTTTAAATAGAGAAGGGAGCGATATTGACAACATTTCTAAAGTTGAAGATACTGTATGTTTAATCATGATCTGTGATGTCGATTTTCATAATATTTCAAACGAGAGCACAGTATTAATTCTTTAAGTTCAATTGATAGTTGAAACTATTGTACATTTGACACAGTCTGACCTGGAAACCTACAGACCTAGTAGAATAATTGTTTTCAGTTTTTCCTTCTGCCTTTGAGCATGTACTGTATTAGAAAATGTCACATTAAACTAGCATTGTCTAAGTTCTAATTGTTTATTTCAATTTCAATAAAGCACTGTGAGGAAGGAGATACGATGTTGAGCGATATCTAATGTATTCACACTAAACTCTGTAATGCATATTAATAGCCATGAAGAAATAATATAATACCATATACTTTTTTGTCAGCACAATATAAGAGCAATGCAAAGTTAATAACCTCATCACGGCAACACGTTTTGCTTGTAAATAAAATACATGAATACTTAATTGGAAAAGAAGTCTTTGAGGACAACTATGGTCACATCACACATAAGTTTGTGTTCATCTTTCGATTGGAAGTTAATTGTCTTTGGAAGAATAGGAAGGTTTGTGTGGGAGGTAATTAAAACAGTATTAGCCAAAGAAAACTTGGCTCTTACAGCCGCTGCAGTGTCTCAATTAGAGAGAGAATGGCAGAACACAATGGATAGATGTTTTCTGTCAGAGAATATTTTAAAATTAAACACTTGGCCTCCTACGGCCTCAATATAAAATACAAATACAATCAGCAAATGATCAAGCACAAAATTGAAGGGAGTTCTTGGCTAGTTCTAGGACCACTAAAGTAGTTCACATCGCAAAAAGTTATTAAAAATACGTCTTGAAAAAAACATTTTTTTAAACTTGGCAAAATGTATGTTTATTTGAGCACATTTTGTCTGCCATAAAACAAGATTTGCCAAAGGGACAAGCAAAATGATCTTGTTTTAAATAGATACAAGAAATATCTCCATTGGAATAAGAAAACAAATCAACAATTCTTGAAAAAAAGTCAGAAAGTACTCAAATTAGAAAGAAAAAAAACCTAATTCAAGCAATTATTACCTCATATATTATAATTTTTCACAGTGCAGTAATTTCTCATTTATATTTACAGTTATGAGAATGAATAATATTGTCTTCTGTATTCCGGAGCTTGGAGAGTTGAAGTCGCTGACTCACCAGAGGAAGTGACCAGTCGGATGTGAGAGCTGAGCGATCCCTCTCCGCCCTCGCTTAGCGCCCGCACCTCGATGATGTAAGTGCCTCCCTCGGGCAGCGACAGCATGGTGGATGGGTTAATGGTTCTGGTGATCTGGTTATGAGCTCTGCCCTCCTGCCTCAGCATCACCTGCAGACATACACCAATAACAGGGGCCATAAACACAGGATACATATGTCCAATGTCTGTTAGCATCAATTTAGGAAGTAAGCGATTATCAAATTATGAAGTAAGTGTGATTAAAAGTTATGTTGGAGTCGTTTTGTCTTAAATCCCAGAGATAGACATCAATCACAGTGGGGTGCAGCATTAGTCATGTGGCTATTCCATTATGCTAATTATGATGCTAAATTGAAATAATCAATGTTCGTGCTGCAATGTGTGACATTACTGTGTTACTCATGTTTCTCTGTAACTGTGCATGATTGCTTCTATAATTACAGGTCGATTCACATTTCATGGTTCAAAAGAATAATTGCCAAATGCCTTTATGTTGGTTTTATGTTGCTAAAATCAAGCAGTGTGTGTTATACTGTCAAAACAAACACACACAATGAAATAGGTTTGATTTTTACCAATTAAGAGTCGAGCTTAAAACAATCAAAATACCCTTTCACAAAAAAAAAAAAAAAGTGTCATATGACTGCTATAAAGTGATAATGTATGATACCAATGTAGGATAAATTAAAATGACCTCTTTCCTCAATCAAAGACATTTTGTTGTATATTGAGACATATTATAACTTCTGTCTCCACTGTGTGTAAATCCTTGTGGTTCAGGTTTTATTGTGGGCAAGAATGTCTTAACCCTTTAGGCGCCAGAGTTTTTTCAAGAAAATATACAATTTTGATTTCAAGATTTCAAAAGGCTATAACTTTAAAATGGTTTGAGATAAAGGCATACTGTAAATTAGAAATATCTTCAGTTTGAACCAAACTTTGGGATGGAAGTTGATTCGTCATCTAATTTGCATATTGTGACGTCATCAAGGTGGCGGCCATTTTGGAACATGTTAATTATTGTATAAAGACTTCAAAAAGCTGTAGCTTGGGAGTTATTTGAGATCAGAGAATACTATAAACAGTCAATGTGAAATATCTTTAGTATGAAATGATTTTGGGATAGAAATAAATTCCCTGATCCAGATTATAGATAAGGTTTTAGCACTAGTTCGCGGCCATATGGAATTGTATTATTTTCAAAGACCTTCAGTGATAAAGACAGCACTCTTTATAGTTTACAGTCATGAAATCATGAGATTGGTTTCAATATTTCCCTTTCAGAGAAGTAGTGGGCTTACTATTTTTCTCAGTGGAAATGAGGCTCCAGGATTTACCGTTTAGAAACAGAGAGATGAAATGAATGGGCTCAGAACTTGTCTTGCCTGGCCTGCCAAACGATATGCTTTTTCAAAGACATATAGTCTGGGAACGAGCTTGATCTCAGCGAATTCCCGGTGGGCGTGGTTGACAGACTGCATCAACCAATTAGATGCATACAGGATATGACGCAGCAACTAGCGGCACCCAAGCCGTTTCAGTAAACACAAAACAAGGGATGGCGGCATGTCAGCTAGTGCAAATGTAAACGACTGCTGTCGATTTTGTAAAAAAAACTTAAAGATACGAGGAGTTATTAGCAACTCAAAGGTGAAAGGAAGTCCCGCCTCTCGGTGCGTGATTGGACCGATGTGGGTAAAATCGTGAAATGATAGGCTAGGAAGAGGTGTCCAGACGGTTCTTCTTTTGAACAGAAAGGAGGAGTGTCTGGCAGGCCAGGCAAGAACTTGTCAGATCGTCTCAACAACATACAACAGGCTCTTCAACACTTCTGATCCACTTTTGTGGATTATTTTCTCTCAATAACTGCCTTCATCCTCATCATCGCTGTTGGTAAAGGCAGTGAACGCGATTAGCGATGTGTTTTTTTCCCGCGGCTCTCCCGCGACTTCTCCCGCGTCTCCCGTGTTCCCCGTGGATGTCTACCCCCACTACTTTCTCCCACATGCCCGGTGTTATGATCCCCCTGTCCCCTCCACCACGGATCCTGCTTGGCGTTCACAGAATGCTTCTACCGCGGGCCCGCGGAGGACAAGCAGCCGCTGTACAGGGGCTGATTGTGGACTATATGGCGCGGTCTCCCCGTCACCAATAGAGATATCTCACGTGACGTCACGATGCCTCGAACTCGCGGGGCATCCGCCATACTGGAGGTCAAACAAACGCTGTATGATAGTGGCGTGCACCCGGGACCGCATAAACATGTTCAACATTTTTGCCGTTTTTGGTTGCAGCAAAAGGAGAGACAGGGAAAATAAGTTGTGTTACCGACTGCCAGCCGTCCTTACTTCACACGGCTCAAAAACAGAAGAAATCTCAAAGAAACGAGAGAGAAATGGCACAACATATTCGCAACAACAAAAAACTAAAAGCCCCCAGAGTGCCCGAATATGCTCGGATCATTTCATTTCTGTTAAGTAAAATCAATTTGATGGCGGATTTAGTGTTATTCCGAAACTAAAAGAAGTTTAAGGATAAAACATATCTGTCTGACTGCAACGTGGGGTTGCTCCATAGACTGTAGCTTAGCTTGTAGCATAGCTGTTCACAGGGTATCTGACTTACCGGAGGCTAGCAGACATGTGAACGACTGAGCCGTGCTCGAGGGTGCCCCGTACTAGTATTTATTAATAAAATATACGGCTCCTCACAGTAGACGCAGAAAGCTCCATTGATTTGAATGTAATCTCATTATTTCCACTGCAGTGTAGCCACACATAGATCCATGGTGTAACAATAAACACATTAAATGTTAATCTGAGAATACATTATACATATACATTCTTAATACACGTGCACAGAGATTTTCAGAATTTTCTGTTCACGTTTTCATGAAAAAACACTGTTTTAATGCGACAATAGCGAACTATCTAAATGACGTCACTAAGACACGCCCCCGCCGCCTGTCAACTCCCGCCCACATGTTTCGGACAAACACTGCCGAAATGAATCAAATACCACTTGTCACTTTAGACGAAAATGATATACCAGGGGCAAAATTCCACCATCAAACCATCAGGGATCATAGTGTAGACCAATTATAACGTTGGCTTGAATGTCGTGGTCTTCCAGTAGAAAGTTTGAGTTGATAAAAAGATAATGGTGAGGATTATGCTAACATTATCTAGTCATTTAAATTGCAATGCTAGCGCCTTCTTTGTTTGTTTTGCTGTGATTAACTTCCATTTATCAAGTTGTTTTTGCACTATCCACTTTGTAATTAGTTTGATCATTAGTTAGCTACAGTCAGCTGATATTATAATAAATCCATGATCACAACGGGTTACGCCACTGTCTCTGAGAGAAACTATCAGAGCTAGCCACACTCAGTAAACGCAAATGACAATCAATCAACACATTTAAATGTTAATGGGAGAATACATTATACACATTCATAACACAAGTGCACGGAGGTTTTCAGAATTAACTGTTCAGGTTTTCATGACAAAAATACTTTTTTAATGCGACTAAAGCGATCGCTTTTAGGTTAACTATCCTCACTGTTACTCGCCTGCCACGGGAAAACCTTTGGGAACTATTTTCTTTGCACTCATTAAATAAACCTTTCGGCATGAGTAGTGAATGACGTTTATTTTGTGTGTTCAATTGGTACAAAGCCGTATAATAAGCAGACACAAAGTTGAAAAAAATCCCTCTCATCTTTCTTCAGGTGTGAGAATTGTATACTTTCTGGATTAGGACAAACAATACTAATATGGATTGATGGGGGTAAATGGTGTAAAGAGAAAGTTTGTGCTAACTACATTCAGAAGAGCTCAGACGGACCTGATACAGCGGTCCAGATCCAGTCCCAGCTAAACGTAGCTAGGACTGGATCTGGATGCTCCACAGTTGGTCCAGCGAAGTGTTTTGAAAAAACATGTGCCCTTTTTAACCTTTTCATGAGAGAAATTCTGCTGACCACAAGCACCCACCTGGTCTGATCTGGTCCTGGTCTGGTCCTGGTCTGGTCCGATGTTGTGGTTTAACGAACGGGTTACATGTTACTTTCATATAGTCCTTTTCAGAGTATCTGAAATCGCTCCGACAAGCACCATAACTGCAGTGTTTTGTTGTCACCATGATTCAATGATTTAGCCCAAGTAAATACAAACGCGTATGTGGAGAACACAGTAGAACTCAACGAGTCGTACACAACGTTTGTCCGAAACATGCGCGCATGCGCAGTCATCTGAGCTATTTTTAGCACATTTCGGAAACCGGACAGTGCCCTATATGCGACCGCGGTAAACCTGGAAGTAACGATAAACATTAATAATACATTTTAGGATGCATTTTCAGAGGATCTGATTCATGAATTTAGGTTGAGTATATATTTGGGTCACTAACTGCTGAAGTTTCAAATTCTCTGTTCAGTTTTCATGTAGTTCGAGAGAGTTCTAGTTTTGAACGTCCAGTTATAGATAGCTAGCAGGGCTGTTACTCGCCGAGGTTGTCCTCCAGTATGGCCGCCGTGGCTGCTAGTCACATAACCGTAGGATCCCTCTATAATGTCCGTGTCTGCTTCACTGGACACCTGCGTGTCTTCCTGCTCTGAATCTGAGTGAGCCAGTACCAGACCAAGTACTTCTCTGGTACTGAAGACCTCGTGAGTAAACTAAAAACCCTCTCTCCCTCTGCTCTGCTCTCGCTCCTCTCAGCTCTACCGCTGCTGCTTCGCCTCCGCGCCGCTGCGCCGCAGGTGTTTTACGAACTCAATTTACTCAAAAACTTTCAATATAACCACACCCACAAATGCTGCTCATATTACAGGCACACATGTCCACTAACCCCTGGTGAAAAGTATTAACAAGATTCTGCACCACATTTTTACATACAGCCTGTTTAAGTGAGCAATGTTGCTTGTTGCAATATTGCGACTTTGGCGCTTAAAGGGTTAAGATAAGGGCCATGGCAACACCCTTCCCCCAACAACTCTACAAGAGGGAAGACAAACCAGTCTGCTTTGGAACCACGGAGTGACCAGACCTCCCTGGGCTCTGCCCTGGGCTCTGCTCAGGCAACCAAGGGGCTTTGGGCCTCTTAGATGGCCTCAAACCTCAGCTCCACGTCTGAGAGGACTTCCACAACCCTTCAATAGCCTCCAGCTTCAACCTGAAGAAGTTGCTGAGTTTTGGCACCTAGACTGTGGATCGTAGGACTTGGTTCAGCCACATGATACAGCCGCATGGTCCAGGCCCGTGGACAAGAAGCCTCCATCCAACACCATCAAGACCCAAGGACTGCTATTCACCAAAGGCTATTCTGGTTGTATGATCTGCTCTCTTGCTACACACAGTTGTTGGCTTTATTAAAACCTATACTTCAAAGAATACTTCTCCTACCAAGGCTGAACACATGCAGGCCTTAGCCTATACCAATCCATTCATAGACAAAGGTCTTGCTCAGCTCACTTTAGCCTAGCATTTTAACAATGTATCTTGAAATCAACGTTTCCTTCATGTTATTCTTGACAATTTGCATAATTCATATCTAGTCTGTATTGTGTATACTTCATTAAATCTACAAAACCATCTTTGTCTGAAAGTGATATTTGTACTTTTAACTCCAGAAATTGGGTCACTGATTTGTAAAAGAATTCACTACCTTCAGATTCTATTGAAGAGAATTGGACTAATTAGCTAATTAAATAATGAAAGGACTCATGAGATTTCTTAATCAATAAATGAGCCAATTAATTGATATTGTGACGTCATATGCACGTTATCAGTTGGGAGTTATTCCCTGGTGCCCCTAAATAAAGCTATTATCAATTATTGTATTTATTACATGGTTGTTTTTATCCAATTCTCCGATATCAGGTACATAACTTATGTCGACATTTTTTCACCCTACACCAAATTTGAACTAAAGTTATGGCCTAAGTGGTTCCCAAAGTAGGGGTCGCAGGACACGGGGTGAGGGTCGCTGATATTCAGAATGTGTTTTTTACATATAACATTGTGACATAGTAATGTTCCAATTATTATTGTTAACTAACAGCACAATACAGCTCTCAAATAAATAACACTATTATACATATAGCATGTTTTTCTTCAAATGATTAAGGACTGTATGTAATGTCTTCATTTTTAATTAGCTAGTAGGTCAAAATGCAACAAATCATATCTGACCTTTTCTGAACAAAATTCTGAAGTGTAGTTATTCTTTATTAAAAGTGTCATGTTTCAGGGGTACTGGTCTGAAAAACGTGGAAACATCAGTAATAATCAATGGTCCATGCTTTTCCGTATTCAATCCTGCCGTCACTGACTACTATCAATCACTACTCATCATATAATAATAATAATTATGCCAGATTTAGTTATTACTTACCATGTAACCGATCACATCCGATTCATTGTCTTTGGCCTTGACAGGAGTCCAGTTCAGAGACACGTTGTTACCTTCCTGAATCCACATTAAGTTACTGGGGGGCTGCGCTGGTGCTATACAAAGCAACACACGCGTCAGAGCATGGAAATACATTCTGTCAGCATGTTTTCAACCAACTAGGTCAATTACTGCCACTTTTTCTCCTAAGAGACATTGAGCCAGCTTAACATGTAACCTCCATCGCCTGAAATAGTAATGCATGATTAGTGTCAGCTGCAAAACTCACGCGCTTTCCGGGTCCGAGCGGTGACAGCGGCACTGGCAGGTCCCTGGCCGATGCTGTTGAAACCTTTTACAGTGATGTGGTACAGACTGTTGCTCTCTAGTCTTGACAACACCATTGACGTCTCATTTTTGACAGTGCGTTGTTTTGGGCCAGCATCTTCCTGTTCGGAGTCTTTCCAGTAGCTCACCTGTAACAAAAATCAATCAATCAATTAATCAATCAAATATTATTTATAAAGCTCTTTTCATACCAAAAAAAATGCAACACAAAGTGCTTTACAGATTAGTTAAGAACAATCCAATATTCCCAGCCCTAAACCCCACCTCCCCACAGACCCCCCCCCAAAACCACATTTATTATTATATATATATACACCCACATGCGTGAACACATACCATGGATCTATTATAATAACTGGATAGGGTATTACTAGCTTGGAGCTGAATAACTAATGCTCTCGGGGGATTCTCGAGGTACTGCAGACTAGACCAGACTAAATTCACGTGGGCTACCCAGAAATGTTCCCCATAGAACTCAATGTAAATTAAAACAGCGCGACCTCAGCTGACAGAGAACCTACAGCTTTCATAAAGATCGGATTTTGTGGGGATTTTATTGTCCCTTGTCATCCTGAACTTTTTTTCTTCTTAAATCCTTCGGTTTTGTTTAAATCCACACTTTAGTGCCACAAACTCTGCTCGTCTGGCTCTCGCTCTAACTCCCGCTCTGATGAACTGCTCTGATTGGTCAGAGCGCAGCCGAGCCCCTCTGTGCACGTGCATGAGACCGGGTGTAAGACCCACACACGCGTGTTTGGCGCAACGCAATATGGGAGATCATCCACTGCGCATAACCGGGAGGACCAGACGATGCCCAAATACAGGCGAGTTTCCCATAGATCTTTGCGAGTTTCCCATGGATCTTTGCGAGTTCCAGGCGACTTCCGCTAATCTTTTCGGCACCCATGCCGTCACAAAGCGCCACTGAGCACAACCGTTCATTTGAATAGGGCGCCATCTTGGATCGCTGGGGCTTGACACATACACACACATACACATACACACACATACACACACACAGACACACACACACATACAAATCAGGTAAAATAGGTAAAACAATAAAAAGATATAGGGCTGGGTGCAGAGGTATCCAGTTGAAGAAGCGCCATCCAAGGAGCCATCTGCACCAGGAGCAGAGAGATCGACACAGGACCCAGAGGAGAGAGGATGCCCCAGACCCCCACCAGGTCCAGGAGTCAGACCCCCATAGGACCCAGAGGAGAGAGGAGGCCCCAGACCCCCACCGGATCCAAGAGCCAGAGCCACACAGCCACAGCAGACCCCAGCCCCCAGTGCAGAGGGCTCCTCCAGAGGAAACACTGGGGATACTAAAACAATGCAATAGAAAGTAAAACATTAAAATGTGAGACTAAAAAGAAAATGGCAGCTACCTAATATTAATTGTAACAATAGTAAATGGGTGGATAAAAAATAAACTGGAGTCAATCTCACTTCCCTGCAGGTAATCAAGACTGCATTAGCGACTGTGTGGGATATTACAGTATGCTTTATGCACTCTGGGTGACAGTGTATTCATGGTCATGTAACCCTATGTATAGAAAATTGATGCAGAAAGGAGAAAATAAGGGCTGTGTTTTTCTGCCATGTACAAGATATAGACATACAGTATATATGCAACACAAAAGTATAAATGATCCTGTCTCTCCTAACCTTATACCAACAATAATTCATTATCCATTTTTTCACATGCCTAAAACCTTGTAAAGTGTTTTCCCATGGATTAAAAAAGGTGTGTATATTAAAGATAAACTAGAAGGTTGGGTAATTTATATAACAGATAATAAAATGTGGCCTTATTTTTTATGGTCTGGGTTCTTGCACTCTAATTTGAAAAATGAATAGTACATTTTCACTTTGAATATTTATTCATGAGCCCCAACACCGTTTAACACAGTGATTTACAAAGGTTGTGCAAAAACACGTTCTCACTTCATATCCTCTGGGTCTTCCAGGACCAGGGTTGGGTGGTTTCCAAGTGACCTTCATTTCAGACGAGGAAATACTGAAAGCTTTAATATCAGATGGAGCTTCTCTGGGTTCTGTGAAACATAGACACAATAGGATTTAATAGGAGTTAATGCTGTGAAAATCAGACCAAACTGCTGGCCTAGGATATGAAAAAGGAATAAAGGTGGGTAAAGAGATTCAATGGACTCTAGGTACCTTCTTTTCACACCACAACACATGGAAGCATGTTATAAAATAAAATCAAGGGCGTTATGGAACCGTGACATGGGCGTGGCTGTAGCGTCCGGAAGTAACATTCCCATTTAAAGTCCCCATAGGAGTTTAGAAAAAATAATTCTGGGAATTCACCCACTTCCACATGTGTGCATTGTGGGTTAGAGCAGAAAAGTGTTAAAGGGAGGACCACCCTCCAATCAGCCAATCTGCTCTATATTTTTAAATCTTTTTTTTTGTGGCAGGGGAAACCGGAGCACTTGGAGGAAACCAGACACAGGGAGAATAAGCAAATATCACCCTGAAAGTCCCAATTTGGGAATTCCAACCAAGGACGCACAGAGAAGAGAATTTATTTCTCTGGGAAAGAAGACTTTTTTTTTTTATAAACTAAAAAGTTGGATTTTTTAGTTTTGGATTTTATGTCTTGCTTGTGAGATTGCATTACTTCTCTTTGTAAATGTTTCAATCCCTAGAGTTTGACAAATAAATATTGCAACAAGGAATGACCATTGAATAAAAAGGAGTACATTGTACAAAAAAAGGACAATAAGACGCTCACCTCCCTCCGCAGAGTGAATAACCACCACTTTGCTAAACGGCCCGTCTCCTTTGTTGTTGTAGACTCCGACTTTCACTTCGAACGGCGTCAGCGGCGGAAAGGTCTCGTCTCTGTATTTATAAGTAGTAGAGTCCGCCGAGGTCACCATCTTCTCTTTCCATCCTCTGCTCCCATTGGCTCGAAACGCCACGATGTAACCAAACCCTTCTCCATTCTGGAACTCCTCTGACACGGGCTGAAATCACGCACAAAAGAAACATAATATATCATAAAAGAGTCCCCATCAGAAGAGCTTATTACAGCCAAGCAGCCCCTCACGAAAAAACCCAAACAAATTCCCCCCCTCAAAGGTATTCTCATCAAAACCGATTTCAATTTATTATCCATTTGCCGTAACGGTCTGCCAGTGTTAATAAAGATGCAGGCAGTCTGAGTAATGGAAACAAATCATATCTCATTCTCTGGTGCCTGTTATGTAGTTATTTATCTTCTCATGTCTGACAGTTTGGGATTTTGGGGACACCGGCATTTTCTGTGAATTGGCCTGAAGCTGTAAAACTGGGGCATGTCTTCCACAGCTGCTTCCTAATCAAATCAGTTGCCAATTTATTAAGTGAGCTTGGATTTAATTAAAGACTAAGCAACGGGGATTAAATCTTTGGCTAAATTTAATAATTGACAAACACCTGTACACCTGGTTTTGGCACATCTCCATGCCAACCTCCGTTATGCCTCATTTGCATAAGCTTCAAAGAAATGGGTCCCCCTCCTGAAGGGGATCATCCAAATGAGCCTGGAGTCTACTGGATTCAATACAGATGTAGTTCATTTATTTTTTTTCCCTTCACAACGACGACTAATCACTACGCCTGTCTAATTACAAGGATGATCAGCAAAAGTGAATTAGCTTCTATCGGAGTTATTATCTGCGCCGGCAATGCTTTAAAAGCGATGCCAAGGAATATGGGGCTTTCAAAAAAACAAAAACAACAAGAACAAATTGGGGAGTTAAGATGGAAAACATGGCAAGCTCGGGGAGATTAGATGAGAGCGTTTGAGTGAGGATTAGGTCTAGAGAATGTTTTAAAAAAGGCAACATGGGCCATCCGTTTCCACTGTGGTTAGGCATACGCTGGTTTCTAAATTATACAGTGTGATAAAGTATGTCGGCCTGTCATGAGAGTATCAACGTATTGCATATTGTATATTTGATGGATGGTACAATATTATATTGAATCTGAAAGGCCTATTTTCTTAGAACTCTATCTGAAGTGACACTTTTAGGAAACTAATAATACATGTGTTTTCTACAGTGCTGTTCTGGATACTCAAATACACATGTCATTATTCATTCACTCCATACACAGTGGTGATAAACTACTATTGTTGCCACAGCCGCCCTGGGGCACGATGACAGAGGCGAGGCAACCAGTATGTGCCATCAGCCCCTCTGACCACCACCAACCATTCACACACACATACACCAGACTCATTCTAGGCAATGTGGGTGAAGTGTCTTGCCTGAAGACTAAGCAACAGTTTGGCACCTGGTGTTCCCAGAGGTCTCCCATCACAGTACTAACCAGACCCTGCTCTCTCACATCTTCAGAGATCTGACGGGATCTGGCTTTTTGCATGCAGGTATGGCCACAAGATAAATGATTACCTAATTCTAGCCAGGGAATACCCAAGCTGCTGTATGTTTGAGTAATTTCAAAGTACTCGATCATATGGAACTCTGGACAAAATATTCACTTTGGGGACCAATCAGAGAAAGATGCCGTCCCGCCTCAGACAGAGAGACAGAAGCTAGTTTGTTTACAGATCCAACACGATGGCAGCAGACGTGAAGCTATATTCACACATGTTTAACTTGCACAAATAGTAAAAACGGTGTAAACAAAATTTCTCGCTTCTTTGCTTCTTGACGTATGTCTGTCCTGCAACATACGTTATCAGGCAGAATTGATACGATTGGTGCATTTGTGCAGACACATTTATAGCTCCCAATCAACAGCCATGGTCCATCGTAAACCACCTCTGCATTCTGTACTCTCTTTGAAAAGTTCAATCATTTAAACACGTTTCGCTAAAAATGATTGAAATCACAAATCCATATCTAAATATATATGCACAAACAGCTGGCATTAAGCATCTGACTTTGCAGAGAGTAATATAACATAACAAAAATCATGAGAATTACCTTTCAATGATTTGGATTGAAAAAAATAAATATATATTCGTCTTTTTACATGTTATTCAGTTCATTTTTCTTTTAGCTTGAAACAAACAGTGCTGCATACATGCCAAACATGTTCTTCTGTATTCCATCTTCACAATGATCAAGTACAGTGGCCTTGATTCCTGGTCTGCTCTTTCGACACGTCCACCACACGGGCTCTTACTTACTTTTATTGACAGAAGATACTGTTTAACCCTCCTTCACTAATGGATGGAAATATGTTTGGTTAGCCAAGTGTACGACCGTGGTTTGAAATAAAACAGCTGAAAATAAATTATTTAAGTCTGAAAACATGAAGAGCTTTGGGAATTTAAATAGCAGTGTTGGAGGGTGTACTTAGTGAAAAAGGGTTCTTCAAAATGAATTCTACGTCAGTGGGTGAATGCGGGAGGCTGGACTCGCTGCTTCAGTGCGGCTGGATGAGTGTGGGGGCATCACTAATGGTCCTCCCAGTGGCTCCAGGAGAAGAAGCTGTCTCTCTCCATCCGCTATAATGAGACGGCTGAATGAAGCTGCAGAGAGTGTTTAGTCATTCATCCTGCTTAATAACCCTGCCTACTACGGCCGCACGGAGAACTGACAACTCGCCACAGCTGACTGCAGAGCCAGAGCCGCTCGCAAGCCCACCGCTGCCAAAAAAGGGAACGCTCCCGCTCCGTCTCCTTTCATATCCGACAGCATTGATCACTGTCACGATCCTCAATGTTCCTGTAATGAGTAAGGTTTTTCTCAGGGTTAAGAAATTATATCCATTTCAGTTTTTTTGTGTGTTATAAGACCAAGGGGTTATGTTCCCCCCAATTCTCATCTGATAGGAGGATCTTTGAAATATAATAAAACATACACCTTAAAGGCCTTTTTATAACTTTAATAATGTCAGAATGTACAATATTGCCATAGTTTAGGTTTATTTCCGGTTTTATTTTGTAATTTGTTACCCCTGTGTCTTCGTTAGTTGTTCTTGTCTGATTACCTGTTGTGTGTTTTTATACCCTGTGTGTTCCTTCACTCCCTGTTCCATCATTGCCTTTCCACGTCTGATTCAGCTCTTGTCCTTGTTCCCGGTTTGGTAACTTTTTGTGGTGTTTTCTCTGGATTTAGATTTGCATAATTTTCTATCAAATCCATTATTTTGCAGTTGCGCATTTTGGATCGACCTTGTTTTCCACCTACATGACAAATATAGAACCACATGTGTTATTGTCACTTTACTGAGTCACTTTGTCCCAGACTCTCATGTTGCTAACATGTACAGATGTTTACACACAGCTATACATTACTTGCACTTTATACTAAAATCAGGGGTATTTGTACTTAAGTCTTGCTTTTTCATCGTTCTAAATTTGGAGACTTCTTTCCTTATGCTAAATTTTGTGATTTTGTGCTGCTTCTTTTTATGCTAGAGTTAGATATTTTTGTTTATTTATTTATCATTTTTAATGTAATTTGTGCCGTGTGCTCCTCATTCCTACTGTTCGGTAACTTATGAACTTGTGTGTAAAGGTTCTCTTTATCTTAACCTAAATCTTTGCAAATGTTTACGTCTCGCAAAAATGTTATCAAGACTGACTAATAACAGAATCCAAAGACTGGAGTGTACTATCTGGGCCACTGTACCAGCAGAGCGTCCTATACAGTGTGGTGAGGGTGTAATAATAGCAGTGCTAATGGCCAAGGTTATAAATAGGTAGCGGTTTACCATCAAACACAGCCCATCTGGAATGGACATTATCCCCCATAATGCACCTCAGAGGAGCTCTTCTCCTCATGTGAAGGTTATGGTCCCAGTGGCAGTTGGGCTTCCATACTTAATAACTACAAGAATAACTGTCAGTACCCAGCACATCTGTTTGCCAGTCCCTTGTTAATACACCGGCATCTCAATTTGAAATTCCTGCTTTTACTGTATTCACAGCAAGTGGTTTGTGCCTGGCTCCGTGCCAAACTGTCCAGAAAAGAATCTATAACAATAATCTTCGCTTGAAGGCCACGTTTGGTCCGAACGAACTCCTGTCTGATCCATTCTTAAGAGTCCTGAACTTCAAGGTGAACCACCATCGCGAGGTCTCTCCACTGAGACTGCACTCAAATTCTGAATGTCTTAATCAGCCCCGTGGCTTATGCTCCACTGAGGGTACAAGCCTTCCATCTGGCTTCATCGGCAGAGTTTCAGCCACCAGCGTGTGCCGTCAAGACTCCTGACCCTCACCCTGATGACTTAAACAAATTTGCAACAGCATAAGAAATAACCTGTTCATTATGCAGAAAGCTGTAATCTCGTTCTGACCCGCTGCTCTCACCTCATCTAACTTACTCATCATCATAATGTATTTCTTTTGTTCCTTACTAGTCCGTCATTTTCTCTTTGTTATGCATTTTCAAAATTGTTATTATGTTAAAACAAGTAAAAGAAAGAATAGTTTTAAGAAGAACGCGTCACTGTATCTACTTTAATTTCCTCGGGGATGCGTTCTGTCATTTGTCTTGTCTCAGACTTGTGTTTTGTTTTTAGTAATTTAACCTCCGTTACAAAGAAAACGATTCCATCTCCCCAAACTCAAGCGGCTCAATTCACTCTCAATTGCCTCTCACATATTTCTCAGAGCAGATGCCAGATGGGGCTGCGTTGCTTGTGTGTCTGCGGTGCACTGGGGTCACTCTCTTTCTTCACAATGGGCCCTCACCTGAGCCCCTTAAACTCCAAAGACCTTCTCTCCAAGAGCAGCAGAGCAGACCAGACAGTGACCTCCATCCCTGAGTTATCCCCCTGCCCATAATGTGTGTCTCTAATGCTTTGCTTATCACAGGGGTCAGCGCTTCCGGGGGCACGCTGCATCTCCACACCTGGGTGGTTCAACCGACCCTGCTCCTCTATGGGATTTATGTGCATCTGACTGGTTTATGTGTGCCCTGTGGTTTTTTTCCATGAATATTGGCTTATTTATTGCATGTTCTGGTTTTGTTTTAGGTCAGACGGCAACTGGGGAAATATTGAGGGGAAATAAAAAAAATAAAATAAATGATTGTAGGCTATAGCTATGAGAGATATATCAATCAATCAATCAATCAACGTTTATTTGCATAGCGCCTTTCCTACACAAGGCAACGCAAAGCGCTTCACATCCCCTATCACATCATGCATAAATCAAACACATTAAGAGCACAAGATATATTAAAAACATTAAAAATAAAATCACACAAATTAAAAACCTTTAAACATTAAAATCACAGATGGGACTAAAATCATAAATAGTCACAGTGCATTAAAAAGATTAAAGATAAAAACAAAGATGAAAAGATAAAATCATTCAGTTGTATATGCGCAGCTAAACAGAATTGTTTTGAGCCTAGATTTAAAGGATGCCAGATTAGACGCCTGTCTCACATTCTCAGGAAGACGGTTCCAGACTCTAGCCGCATGAATCTGAAATGCAGTTTGCCCATGTCTAGTACCGACTCTGGGCACTAACAGGAGTCCAGTCCCTGTGCTCCTCAGAGTCCGGGTCGGTTCATATGGCACAAACATGTCGTGGATGTACCTTGGCGCGAGACCATGGAGAGACTTGTACACAAGTAAAGCTGCTTTGAAGTCTATTCTCTGAGGAACAGGAAGCCAGTGCAGAGACCTGAGAACTGGACTAATGTGGTCGTACTTCCTAGTTCTGGTCAGGACTCGAGCTGCTGCATGTTGAATATACTGCAGCTGTTTTACAGCCTGTTTGGAGAGACCTGTGAACAAGCCATTGCAATAGTCTAACCGACTGGAGACAAAAGCGTGTATAAGAGTCTCCAAGTCTGCCTTAGACACTATGTTTTTAATTTTAGCAATGTTTTTTAGGTGGTAATAAGCTGCTGATGTTACAGATTTTATGTGGCTTTTGAAATTTAAGTCTGAGTCCATTATCACTCCTAGATTTCTGACCTGATTTGAGGATTGTAGAGAGAGAGCCTGGAGGTGACAAATAACGCTCTCTCTTTGTTTCTGGGGTCCGAAAACAATTATTTCAGTTTTGTCGGTGTTTAGTTGGAGAAAGTTATTTTGCATCCAATCACCGATTTGCTGGACACAGTGAAGGAGCGAGTCCACTGGTTCATGCTCTCCTGCTGTCAGGGACACATAGACCTGAGTATCGTCAGCGTAATTATGATAAGAGACATTATTACTGTGAATCAACTGACCTAGAGGCAACATGTAAATATTAAACAGAAGAGGACCCAGGATTGACCCCTGTGGCACTCCGCAGGTAAGTAAGTAAGTAAGTAAGTTTTTATTTATATACCGCCTTTTCACTGCAGATCTGAGTCTCAAAGCGGTTTACAATTGTTAATTTTTGGGCATTTGTCTCTCACTCCACACAGAGATGGGAGCCGGGTCGCCAGTACAGGAGGCGCATGCCAGAACTATTGGACATGTTTTTAGTGGTAGGGGAAACCGGAGTACCCGGAGGAAACCTACGCAGACACGGGGAGAACATGCAAACTCCACTCAGAAAGGCCCTGGTCCTACCGGGATTCGAACCCAGGACCTTCTTGCTGAGAGGCGAGAGTGCTATCCACTCAGCCACCGTGCCGCCCTAGAGGCGGCACGGTGGGTTAGGTCAGGGCCAAGTGGTCTGAGGTACAGTTTTCGATCTCCACAAAAAACTTTCTGTCTTGTAAATAGGACCTAAACCAGCTTAGGGCGGTGCCAGCAACACCAACCCAGTCCTCAAGTCTCTGAATGAGGATGCCATGATCAATAGTGTCAAAAGCAGCACTTAAATCTAACAGAAAAAGGACTGAGACTTTTCCTGCGTCAGTGTTTAGTTTGATGTCATTTGTTACCTTTATTAGCGCGGTCTCAGTGCTGTGGTGGGGTCTAAACCCTGACTGGAACATATCATAAGCGTTATTGATTATTAAAAATTCTGTAAGTTGTTGATAGGCAACTTTTTCTAGAATTTTTCACATGAAAGGCAGATTTGAAATGGGCCGATAATTTTTGAGTGCCAGGGCTTCCAGACTCCTCTTTTTTAGGAGGGGCCTGATGACCGCCGTTTTCAAGGCCATTGGGAATGTTCCAGATTCAAGAGACATATTAACTATTTGTAAGTGAAGGTAAAAGACTGCTCAGAACTGACTTGAGAAATCTAGGAGGTAATACATCCAGGCTGCATGTGGAGGAACTCAGACTAGTGATTATCTCCTGGACAGTTTCAATTTGTACTGGTGTAAAGTGCGTCAGCCCAAAAAGCCTCACTGGCGGTTGGATTATTATTTCTATCGTGGAGGTGATGGCGTTTTTGATACCTTGGACTTTGTCATTAAAGAACTGAGCAAACTCATTACATTTAGATTTGGAAGTAAGTTCTGATGGCATCTTAACAGGGGGATTCGTCAATCTATTTACTGTTGAAAACAGAACACGTAGATTGTTGCTACAGCCTTCAATAGTTTCAGAAAAGTACATTTCCCTCGTTCTACGTAGTTCCCTGTTAAAATTGCACAACGCATCTTTGAAGATGTGGGCTGTGATCTGCTGGTGCCCAGAGTCAGAACTAAACGGGAGGCTGCGTTTCTTTTCACGCAGCTGAAATCTAGAACAGTCTTCCTGAAAATGTGAGACAGGCTTCTTCTCTGACATTGTTCAAATCCAGGTTAAAAACAGTTTAGCTGTACATACAACTGAGCGATTTTTATCATCCATCTTTTTAATGTACTGTGAATATTTATGATTCTATAATGTTTTGTTCAGCACTTTGAGTTGCCTTGTGTTTGAATTCCACTATACAAATGAACTTGGCTTGCGTTGTCAATATTTTTTGACTATTAGGAAGTTTCTGATGACATCTCCTGAAAGGACATTGCAACTTTATTCATTGATAATTTGTTACAGCCCCAAAACACACATTTATATATATGTATTTCTATTCAATATCAAAATATGGCTTCCGCTGATGAATGTAAATATTTGTATTAAATGCAGCGTGGACACAGAGTACAGACACATAAATAACATAAAAGCATCATACATGACATGTTAAAAGCTTATGAGCAAAGCCTTCACACGAGCCGCAGACCTCCCCTGCTGTTCCAGGCCTAATATACATGTTGGCAGCAGACAGGCTCCTGCTGTGTGCTCTATACGAAAACCTTAATTACCACAATATAGACACAGGAAGCTTGATATAGCCAAACAAACAAACAGGGCCCACGGTGGAAGATGCTTTCTACAAGTTATAGAGTCATTTAAGGCAAAACAGACCCCGAAAAACATCCTTAATGAAAGTGACCTTCATATTTTTGCATCTTAGAGAAACTCCATAACACCGCAAGTTTATATCACATTCCTCTTTGTAGTTGGGGGAATCGGATGACAACCAAAAACAAGTCCCAATCCACTACAACGTGGAACAAGCTTAATAACGTTTGACAAGTATTCCCCAGAACCAAGCGCGGATTTCTTAATAAATTAAATTTTTCGATAACATCATGAACACATATTCCCAGGTTTTAATACAAAGACAGCCAGAGTCGAGGGAAATAAGCAAGTGTAACGTTATAATGATCTTTTTACATGTTTTAAATCTCGCAATCAAGCATGTACCTGACTAAGATCGAGCACACAGGATAGACTCAATATACAAAATGTATTTTCTAATATCCCTATGCAGGTGCTGTGACTTGTTTATTTGGAACAGTGCCGTGCAGCAAATATTTACTTCCTCTCCAGAATGCTTGAGGAATGAATTTTAATTGCCTGCGTATAATGAAAAATGTGACACTAATGCAGGATTTTATTGAGTGCACTGTTAAAGAACAAACCAAACAGCCCAGTTTTTAGATGCTTGTGAACACCATCGGAGAACATTGCGATTGTGTCTTAAAGATTGTCAGCTCGTGAACGATTAAAATGTGGATTCGTAGGCTAGAATGACCAGACAGCAGCAAGTGGGAATGCTGCAACATACCCTAATTTGGCACCAACTTCTTGAAGGGAACATAATTTGTCTCTGCTATAGTTTGTAGGAACTCATCACTGACAACCGTGGCTCATTAATATATACTTTGTACAAAATATAAGTACAATGGGACAATTAAATAGTTACCTTGATTATTTTGCCTTTGTATTGAAACTGTTTTAGTCAGTCAATTTCACAGCCTCATTGTTTCGTCTTTTGATAGTTTTATTTCTTTACTTTTAACCTTGTTTTATTTATGTACTTCTCTTGTGCACGCAAATGTATTCCAATGTGGTTTTTACTGCAAATGGCATATAAATGAATCTGAATCGGATCCAAAAACATTATACTAATGATTTGGTTTTTTTGGACTCTCAAAGACACTTCACATTCATTATTCATTCACTCCATACACGGTGGTAATACACTACTACTGTAGCCACAGCTGCCCTGGGGCACACTGACATGGCCCCGTCTAACCACAACTTAGCCCTTGTTAATCTTAAAAAGCCCATAACAGTTCTGGTCCGGGAAACAGAATATGTGTTCATTATTTTTTTCACGCAGCTCAACATTTCCAAAGAGGTTTTCCAATCCAACATTCACAAGTCAATTGGTCAGAAATAAAAGCCGTCAAAAACTGATCAACAAAGTTTACCTTCGTTGACAGTACAGTATATCTGACATTCATAGATCTTGCAAACAATAGAACTGCATTTGACTCAAGTGAATGTTTCCAAGGACCTGTTGTGTTGACCTTTCTGAAGTGGAAAAGTGCCTTACCTCCCAGGAGATCACAAGCTCATGCCGCCGGCCATTGCCCCCGCTCACGTTGGCCGGTGCCACTGATGGGACTGTGGGAGACACAAAGGTCAACAATGCATCACTGATTTTATGATGCTAAACTTTTCTTCCAAACACTGGCAATGGTTGTTAACTGTTCTAAGTGACCACGTCGGACCAATTTCACCCTAAATTAAACAATATTAATACCGCATGTTGAAACTCAGTTGTATCTTGTGCATTACAGATAGCGCTTTGGAGATATATCACCCCATCAGCATGTGGTTACAGTAATTAGTCTATTAATCATGCTGAGACGATAGTGCAGATTAAATACGCCAGATCCAAATGGCCGCTGACCTTTGTAATTATTTCACTTTGTCAACGAGAAGTGAGCAGCAAGTGAGGCACAATAGCTAAAAGTGTTCATGCTTGTCATAAAGGCTATCTTCTATAGATTTAACTTCAGACTCAAATGGAAGATTCATTTATATTAGTAGCAAACAGCTAGAGTACCTATGCATAATATTTCATCTGTGAAAGGGGGTAAATCCACCTAACATAGAGAAATGGCACCCAACTTTCAACCCACAAAGTTCTTAAACAGTTCGGTTCTTTCACTAGATTTCATATATGTGTTTTGGCCTATTTCACATCTTTAGATAAGCTTTTTCAGACTCACAAGTATCTCGCTTGCAAATATGCAAACCATAACATGTTTTATAATGAGATTTAGACAGCATGTTGTGGTTCATCATCATCATCTAATTTTATTGTAGACTCGTGGCCCAGAATAAGAAAAAAATCTTCAAACCAAACAACACAAAATCACAACGATAAGCCACACTCTTCAGAGCAAACAGCCGCACCAATGTCTCCATAGTCCAGAATTTTCCAAACATTTTACCTTTATAAGAATCTGTCTGTTGGACAAAAAACGGGTATAAATTATAAGCTTAGGTACCCCAGCTTTTGGTCCTGTATATCTGCCACTTGTTTCTTTGTCCTATCTTTAGAGCATAGAGCAAAAAGTGGTTTTACTTTGTTGTCTGTCCTGTTCTTAACCTACTAAGAGGTTAATGTATGGTATATTTACATTTAATGCTCATTATTGGGCGTCTCTTGAATACAATCTAAACAAATAACATTGATTGTGGTTAAATGGAACACATAGATTTACATTTTGGTAAAACAAATTGCCTTTGCTTTATCAATCATTCAAGCAAGTTATTGTTGAGAATTTCCTTTTACCAGGTCAAAATAACGTACTATATAAAAATGGAAATTAAAACCACATTTGTCACAAAATTACAAACCCTAAACAGCCTTGTGAGAATATTAAAATCTGCAAAATCACTTAAGCTTTTCATAAGCTGCTTACTTTTTACTTCGTACCTAATTAAAGTATAAACAATGGGGATATGTGTCCAGACTCCAAAATAGCTCAACAGAAATACACCGTGCCCAAGCCTGGATTGCATCTAATAAATAACAATAAGTAAAACCCTGGAGGGATTACCTGCTTCTTTAGTGCGCACGGCTCTGGACGGCGCGCTGGGGTCTCCGGTGCCGATGGCGTTACTGGCCACTACCCTGAACTCGTACTCCACCCAGGGGTTAAGCTGCACGGCTACGGCTGACTCCAGGTCCCCGGTGACGGGCTCCGGCTCTGGAAAAACAGGACCGTTTCGTGTGGGTGTGTTTCCCCTTTACACGGAGGTCAGCTGGCCTCAATGTAAAGGCTGATTTATGCCTCTGCGTCAGGGGGAGCGCCCGGCCTGCAGCTGCACATGGGCAGGTTTCACAGGGGCTGGCACAGGTGAAGGGCATCCAGGCCCAAGACTATAAGTACACATCATGATTTGTGTCAAAGAGAAAGACGAATAAAACAATTGAGGAGGCTTTTGGAGCTATGATGAATTGGACAATTTGGTCTTGGTCAAGTTTGCAACAGTGTTTTACAATATTTTGGAATTGCCATTGTCCATGCTATATATTTTTTTGTCTATTAGTATCAATGTTGTGTAAAGTACTGTAGACTATTGGTCCTAAATTTACTTTGCAAACCCCAGAGTCCCAAACCAGCTCATACAAAAATGAGATTATTTTTGGTAAGCGCTCCACTGTGTAATGCAATAACAACAAAATATATATAACAAATGGATGTCGGATTCATTCTACTTGAATTTAGTAGAATAACTATAAAGAATTTGAGTTGCAGTGCTCTATGAAATGTGCATGAATTTTGAAGAAAAGATTATAACAGAGACAGGGTGAGGTACAATACATTTTTCTTTTGTCATGATCAGGACCGCATGAAAAAAAGGCAGCATCTAACAAAACATAAAAAGCATTACATATTAAAAAAATGCCCAACAAATTCAAATATTGTCACAAATATTAGTATTAAATGTATCACAACAACACCTGTAGAAAGCAAAATACACCCAATTAGCTGTTAGCTAATACTGACACATTTACAGCAATGTTGATTAATTCAAATAAACCATAAAAAAAAAAAAAAAAAGTATTTGTGATGGAATGTAGGAATCCTGTTCACTACAGGGTTGAAGATTATTTATATTCACTACTTGAGCAAATCCCATAATGCTTGTTGGCTTAGAGGGGGGGGTCGCTCCCATAGAAGCTGTTCTGCAGTAAATTTAAAACTGTGTAGAACCTGCAGTGCATGGGAGTTGTTAAAGTGTGTGAATCCATCAGAAGAGTAAGAGCGGCATGATGGTTATAGCTTCTCATCTATAAAGTCCTGCATAGGTTCGATTCCACCTCTAGAGAAGGCCTTTCTGAATGGAGTTTGCATATTCTCCCCGTGCCTGCACAGATTTCCTCAGGGTCCTCGGGTTTCCCCTGCCATTAAAAACACGCACAATAGCTCCCCTATATCTGAAGAGTCTGAAATCCCAGTGTATTTTTCCTGGTTGAATAAAAGTAAATAAACCATGATGTTTGACACCTCAAGGATCACAGAATACTTTTAACCACCAACGTCAGTAATTTTTTTACATAAAGCAATTGAAACGTTCGCTGGACATTTGAAGAACTGCACCAATCTAATCAATCAAACGCAAGGAACATGAGACGTTTTGACTCTTGAAAAGCAACAAATACAGTGCAGACCTGTTTAAGCTTTGTCTTGGTTTAATTAAAACGTCTCTGAAGCTAATAAAAGGCTTTCATATCTAATGCTTTCTTGTGTGCATTAGATTGATGGCACATGATCCCCTCAGCCTGCAAACCATTATTATACGGCACAGGTAACAATAATTTCATACAGGACTACAACTCAATGTGCTTCCCAAGGACAGTGTAACAAAACAAATCACAAACCGACAATGAAGGGAAACCTGCACGGCCCAAGGAGAGCGGAGAAACAAGTGAGTCTTGAGTTCATAGCTCATTGTGTCATCCTCAATCTTTACGTCTGATCCAATTCAAATCATTTTTCCGGAGAAGAATTTATAGAAAAGCTAATTTAGCTATTTAAGCTTTGGATTTTTCAACTGGCCTTTGGTGTAGACTCCAATCCATTCTCCGATTCATAATGGCTGTCTGTGTTTTCAAACAGATGGTGTTGATACAAAAATCCTCAGAAAAAAGACTAGAAAGAGAATTTGATAAAAGAATAAAGCAAAATACAAAATACAAAAACATTTTCTGTTATTGCATACGCCAAATTTGTATTCAACCATTTCCACTGCTCAGTAATTGACAACAAAATCGTGGCTAAAACTGCAAAAATGTAATATGTTTGCTTGGTACATATTCTGCATATCGACCATAAGAAAATAAATCAGAGGTATTTTTTTTATGTAAACACTAGAAGAGCAAACATTTACATAATCGTGAAAGCAGTGTACATTAGAGTTCACAGCGCTCTTCAAACAAGAGCTGATAAGTGTGTTTGAGCGAGAGCAGCACCAAGCTCAAAGCCTTTTCAGATCATCTTCTCCCGTCCGAATCTGACAAACACATCACACGGTCCTAATTGGGCTGTATCAAGATGAATTGAACAGATCTCTTTTGTATTGTATTGTGTGCAAATTCAGAAAGTTTGTGGCTTTAGATAAATGACAGTGTCAAATTAAGGATTGAGCAGTTTGAGAAATCAAAACCTAATCATCACACGATAGTTTCTGACAAAAGGTTGTAGTTTTGTTTATTTGTAGAAAACAGAATAGCCTTCTTTTCTTACATATTTTTTTGTTTTTTGTGCACTAGAGAGTATCAATCAATCAATCAACTTTATTTGTATGGCGCCTTTCCAACACAAGGCCACTCAAAGCGCCTCACAACCCACATAATATCAGACAAATCCGAAACATCAAAATCTACATATACAAACAATAAATACATTTAAAACAGAATAAAATCACAAGTAATGAAAAAACCTTAAAACATTAAAAGCACACACGGGATTAAAATAATAAATAACCACAATGCATTAAAAAAGAGTATGTATCAATAAAATCCTTCAGCCGTATGCACAGCTAAAAAGTAGATGCTAGCCTCACATCTTCAGGAAGATTGTTCCAGATTTTAGCTGCATTAATCTCAAACGCTGCCTCCCCATGTTTAGTTCTGACTCTTGGAACCAGTACACTGAGTTGATTATCCGTGATATTATCTCTGATTCTGTTCAGCATTACACATAGACTGTAAATATTAACGAACGCAGTCACGCCTGTCTCTGCTGTTGAAACTAATGTGCCATCACATTTGCGCATGCATCAGCCGGCACGAGCCCCATTTATTTAACGGGAACCTTCAAAATTTCACAGCAACTAAACTAGACTGGTCCAAAAAACTTAACTCCCCTCAGCAATGACACACATGTGGAATGTGGCGTTGGGCCAAGAGCCAACTTTTGAACCATCCTGTAAAGCCTTTTTCAAGAGGTAAGAAGATGCTATATGTTAGCATTGGCTTATTCATATCCTGGGTCCACCCCCATTGGCCCGGGGGTACAAGCATGTCAGCGCACGTCATTTTGGACTATTTTGAGCTGGGACCCACCCCCACTGGTTTTACATCAAACCTTCAGCCACCAGCCGTGGCGTCATCATTGATGAAGATTTTAAGTATGATAAACAGATAAATGGTTAAATCTGGCATGAAAATTGTGCGTCCTGTGACAGTCTTTTACGAGCACGTATCACAAGAATGATTGACAATTAGGAGGACCAATAGTCTTGATGATCCACCCGGAAGTTAAGTAATGTCAGGAGTAGTGTTAAATGTAGTACAGAAGCTGTAGTACTTGTATACAGTAAGTAGTCAGGGAAACCGGAGTGCCCAGAATAAACCTACTCAGACTAGGGTAAAACATGCAACTCCACTCAGAAAAGCCATACTCTGACTGGGATTCGAACCAAGCTCCTTCTTGCTGAGAAGTGAGAGAGCTAACAACTCAGCCATCTTGCTGTTCTATTGTTTTCATGTCCATGTATTTTGTTTTATTCATCAAAACATGTGATAAAAATCAAGTTTGGATTGGATGGAACATTACAGGAATATGAACATTAAAATAACAACTTTAGCTGAGACCGTTTTGAAAAAAAGCGAGAAATTGTAAAGCTTTCAAATACATAAAACTATATTGAGTATTTGTATAGGGTCAAGGTAGTGACGGTTTTCAATCCGTGAATGAATTAAATGATTGCGGAGTCACTGCGGTATCTCAGTACAAGTATGAATGGAGCTGTGAATAGCTTTTGAAATTGCTCCACCAAATCCTCTAGATCTACAGTTTGCACTCTGTTTGTTATTGATTACCTGTTTTGACAGTTTGCCAGCCTAATGAAAACGGGCTGCGAGCCTGGATATTATAGGTGCTGATGGGGCTGTGGTTGTCCAGGCCGCGGCTCCAGGACAGTGTGGCTCTCGTGTCGGTGATCTCCTCCACTATGACCACACCAGGGGGACCGGGCGGACCTGTCGACAAGGAGACAGCCAAGACATGGGGCTTTAATCACAAGATGTAAATGGCCTTGCTTCAGTTGCTAGATAAGCACAAACAGACGTACGCTGAGCAGGTCCATATTGTGATGCTATTAGACACACTAATGGATGCAACCGCGCGATCATTAAGAAGGATGTGTGCGACTGTCCGTTCGGTGTGGACAATTCCCCCGTTGTTATTTTGCACAACACTAGAAAAAGCCATATTGAATTCACCCAGAACCTTCCCCGACATACAAATCAAGCCAAGGATTTTCTTGCTGATTAAAGTATATATTTCTTTTAGCTTTTCAGAGGCAGCCCGCCATTTTTTTGCTGAGCATGACTGAAGTAGTGGTTGTCGTGTTTTTGTACTGCCCAACATATGTTTACCTCTTTACTCAGAAGTACATCCAATCTGCAACTCCAGCAAATGTCTAAGGACTCGGGGGAGAACAGCTGTAAATGAAAGGCTGGCAGGTGGTGTGTTCAATGAAACCTAGTCTAACACGTCGCCAAATAGTGGCCATTCAAAGGGTCCAAGGTATTAGCATTTCATTTTGTGCAGCAGTAGGGACCGCCATCTCTCTAAAGAGTGCTTCATGCTAATGCTGAAACTACACACCTGTACTAATATTCCCATGGGAAGTGTGTCTTTGTACTACCAACAACAAAATAGGCAAGAATATAAGCGGAAAAGGTAAACTAATATTACTCACTTCACATTCATCATAAAAGCTGCATTAAGTCATTTTTCTCAGTTCATTTGTATTATGTGTGTATACAACAAGGATATAAATCAAAGTCATAAAAGAACTGCCGAATGATACAAAGGGATCATGGTCCAGGCAGGGAGACAATGTCCCTCTTCCCTGCTTCGTTTTTTGTATAATCTAGATTCTAATGCAAGAGCACTTCCTGATGAGAGAAAGAACCACAGATTCAAGCACCTGAGAAAGAGATCACACTACACTTACACATTCAATGTTTTGATTAAAAAACAGAAAGTAGTCCACAAACAGTTTATTTGAAGGACAGTGTGATAGAAATTTTACAAAGTAACTTGTCATTAGGAGATAATAGAGACCCGGAGCTACATGGGCTGTAATTGCTGAATGTAATTTTCAGCTTGAACAGATATGGCCTGAAAATGGGGTGATCACTTTTCTTGTCAGCGTGCTCATGCCAACGCACTGCATGTCTGCAGGCTATAAAATTGTCTGTTTGGTTAAAAGGGGCCAGGAGCACTTTTGACCAATGTGCAAACCGCTAGCATCATCTTGTAATTGGAAGCTTGTTATTGTAAAAACTACATTTCTTCTATCGCCCACAGTTGAACAAAGATGTTTGAGTTAACTGAGTCCCAATGGACTGAAACCTCCAAAACAAATTGAGTACAAGAATACATTATGTTACGGGGCAGTGGCTCAGTTCAAGGGGACGGTGAATCGGTGGCTGTGAGAAAACAGAGCAGCAGTGCATTGATGAACACTCGCCTCGCACTAGAAGTTCGGCCTCAGCAAACACAGTATCAGCACTCGTCTGGGCCCGGCACCCATATTTCCCAGCATGCTTCAGCAGAATGCTCCTAATCATCAGATCCACAGTGGAGGTCTGCTGCAGAGAGAACACAGAAGATAAAAAGTTAGGTCTTAGAAGTGCCGTAATGCGTTTGACAAGAAAAGTGCTATTCCCTTAAATGTCTAAGTGGTTTATGTGGCTCGAAACACTACTTTTTAATTCAGGTGCGCTTTGCAGCTACAATCTCCAGCTATCTGTATTTCCCTGGAATGAGAAGCGCCTAAGGCAAGACTGAGAATAATTCAAGGTCCACAGGCAGCTGTTTAGCACAAAACCTGATTAAAATTGCAAACCATGCATCAGCTCCAAATGAGTCAGTAAAGAATTGCCACCACTCTTCCCAAAGCCTCTTGAATGCATAAGGACATTGCATGACCTAAGGGAGTTCATTTTTAGACATATTTTATAGCAGCCTTATGCCTAATAAATAAATCTGAGCTAATATGGAATTATTGAACAATTGTCGCAATGTAATTTAGAATTATTGAAGTTAAGTGTGGTTATTGTATCTAAACATAAAATATATTTCATTGCACCAGCTAACTTGTTCATTTAACAAGCACTTCCTGTTAATTTCCATTTGAGAATTATGTTTTATTATTCGTTTTATGCATGAAATGTTCATTATCAATATGGCATCTTTTCTAAATGGCTAGAAGGACTTTGTATTCTTTATACAGCGAGATGCTAATGAATGCAAACAGTCTGATTAGGAAAGCTCACTGCCACTTCTACGATAAGATGAGCAACATGTACACAAAACACTAACTAAGGCATGATGAGTGGAACACTTACTGTTTGTACTTATTATGTGATCCTACTACTGTACTATTATGACAACACGCTGTAATCTTACAAGATAAGACATTTCGTTGAACACATAAAAAAGGGCATCTCTTGTTTAGGGAGCCAAACACAAAAGCAGTCGTACCTGAGCTCTGACCGTCTGGATGTATTCAAAGTGGCCTCCGTCCTGTTGAAAGTTGATGGGCCGTTGGTTAAAGAACCACTGAAAAGCCACGTCCAGAGAAGTGTCATGTGTGGCCCTGCAGCTCAGCACAACACTCTCCCCCACCGTCACCTCCACTCTGTTGGGGCTCAGCTCCACACGCATGGCCTCTGCAAGCACAAAGCTGCTGCACTGTCACCCCAGGTTAACCAGACTGCCAATGTCATCCAGGACAAACATGGGGGACATCAAGCTGCCTCTCAGGACACACCTTCACTCTGCCTGTGACGGAAGTGTCCATAGAGCAACAAGAAGACAACAATTGCATAAAAAAGTGAATGTTCGAGTAACATCATTGTGTGGCTGTTCCCTAGGCCGTATAAATGGACAATGCTAACCTTCTATAGTTCAATGAAGCCCAAGAGGAACCTCTTCTAGCTCAATCACCGTTTGTGTCTTGGCTAAAAAAATCGGTATTGCGCTCTTTATGATCCTGGGTTTTTTATTTTGGTATTCTCTTGGCTAATCAAGATTTGAGCCATAAGGATTGACCAATCGGGGGAAACTTCAGCTTGCCTTGGCAACCATGTTGGGAACACATCGGAGCAAATGCCCAAATAAGGAAATTCGCTCCAGCTAGCGTATGTTAAAATCATCTTCTTCATCATTTGGAAAACACTACTACTCCTTTTCGAGTATCTACAAGTGTTTCTTTTGTGTATTTAATATTTATAATTTCGAATTATGTTAATGTAACTCAAGGTTATTTTTCATTTTTATTTTTTGATATCTTACTTTTGTTTATTGTACACTTATTTGCTCGAAATGAACATGGCTAACTAACTATGGGAGACATCAGCGCTTGGTCAGTCTACTGCTTTAATACGGGCTGGGGTCTGTGCAAGTGTAGTCCTTCTTCCACACCAGATAATGACAAGTGTTATGTAGGATTAAAATACAATATCAGAGCTGGAGTACCAAACTTTTCTTGTTTAAGTAACATTTTTGGGAACACATCATGCACATCATTAGAGCTAAGAGCTGATTGAGTGAGGGATGTTACTCTCTCTTTTTACTCCAAAAACCAAACACATGTATGTGAAAATTAGTGATAGAAGAACAATGTAATCTATTCTAAAACATTGTTTTTTTTGGGGGGGATTTCAAAGTCAGATACAAAAGACAGCATATCACAATAAATATGTCATCTTATATTGTGACAGTAAACACCGGTATCCAAGCCCAATCTTGATCCACAAGTCTGCACCTTTTCTGCTGTTAATGTGTGTCCTTGTAATATGACTCTCGAACGTGAGCGCCTTGTGCACGGTTGAGTAAGCACAATACATTTCCTGGCGCTTGAGCAAAAGGCGGGGGGTAAAAATGACATTGGGGACTATTTACTGGTGGCTGACTTGTGCTAATTTGGCAGAAAATAAAGGCCTCCGGGGCATCACTTACCTTTTACCCACAACATGGCCGTCATCTCTGCTGAGCCCAACTGGTTCTCTGCCCGGCACACGTAGTTGCCTTCGTCCGCTCGGCTGGAGTTAACAATCCTCAGAGTGTTGTTTCGCAGCAGCATAATCCTGAAGTATAGACAATCGATACACACATGAAGAACAAGCACAGTGAACAGTAGCGCCTCAGTTCAAAGGGCGAACACAACTTGTCCAGTGTGTGAACCGAGCGACTGGCCATAAGCAGGGTACCAGAAGGGGCCGTTTTGGCTTCAGGTATTCTATCAGACCAAGCAGGAGCAGGACAGACTCCACCCATTTCCTCAAATCATCAGAGTAAGACAAGGTTCGGGGAGCCCTGATTTAAAGGCTGGTATAAGCTGGGCGTTGGCTTTTTCAAGAGAGAAGTTTAGTTCAATATCCTGAGGAAATCGAATCACCAATTACCCTCATGTAGTTCTTCAGTTTTTGAAACGCAACTGAACAGAATCAATCAAATGTATTCATGAGCACAATTCTTAAAGCGTAATCCAAAGACCTTTACAATACAAAATCAATACAATTTAAAGTAGGCAATAAAACAGTGCAAATACATATAAAACATATTATATTTGGACTTCTAAAAAAACTAAACAAGGATAAGGACGTGGCCTGTGTTACAAGCTCAGGGAGACTATTCCAGATTTTAGCTGCTTGAATCTGAAATGCTGCTTCCCCATGTTCAGGCCTGACTCCAGTTCCTGTGCTTCTCAGTCCGATTTTGTCAAAATGAAACTAAAAAGAAAGATATTCCAAATAAAAACTACTATTAAAGCACTTATTTTTAATTTCCGTTGAGGATTAGATATGTTTTTTGAATTATTGTTTTTTTAATGAACATTTTCACGATCACCTTTTCTAACTGGCTAAAAGGACTTTGTATTCTTTATGCAGTGAGATACTACTTAATGTTAGCGTGGTCGTACTCAATTTTGTGTTATTTTTTATAATTTGAATCCGTCTAGTATAGCCTGGTCGTACCACACAATAGTACAAATTACATTTTGTACTAAGGTCTGGAGGTGCTCCATTGAGCTCCGTGAACAGGTGGGAGGAGTTAACTCCTTTTGCAGATTGAAACGATTGGATCTGAGTTTACCGTGATGTAGTGCGCCCGAGTGTGTTGTTAGCATTTAGCATTTAGCCTAGCTCTCCTTTGCCGCTAACGGAGCCCGTGGGGAGTAGGGCCACAATTTCTCCAGCAATTACATTTGCTAAACATTATCCATGCTCCGGCTTCAATTTCTTGATAGAACCAGACCGGATTACTTTACTATCACATTTTTCGCCATTGCCAAACTACAACCTGCCCGTTCGACGCAAACTCTTGACATCGCCCACAACTAACCAGCTACAACAACTGCCTTCCGCGCTCTCTGAATGGTCGGTCGAAATTCAACCGATTGTAATCGCTAACATGGGGACTAGACCCAGACGTTACATGCAGGGAAATGATGATTGAACGGAGTGTACGGATGGCTAAGGCCAGGCTAACATAATGTGACTCAAACTGATTTTTTTGTGCCAATGACGTTTCAGTCCCTTGAGTTCACAACTAAAAATGCACAACTCTGTAGAGCACCTTATTATCCAAACACTGTATATGCTATGTACAGATCTTCGTACTCAACAATTACAATGAAAAAGGAGACGTCACGTGCTCGCTGAAACACAATCGCAAATCAGGCTCTCTTGCAGTGGGCCTCACCAACACATTTCATATCTAACAATCTCTTTGCCCTGTTTCATTTAAATACAGCAGCATTAATACACTTCTTTCAAAAACTAAAACACAAGATTACGTCACGTTTAAGCCTCAATATATTTGCTATTTATAGGCTCCAAATCACATACAGCCAAAGTGACATGAGCAAAGCTGTGGGAAACACTGATCTAGATAAGCTGAGAAAGCCTGGACCATGAATGAATGTTTTATATTTACTCGGCCTTGTAAATAATGCATGAATATACAGTATATCAATGAAATAAAACTAAATCAAATCAACAAATTTTCTCTATGAAAATTGCCTATATTGCCTAATGGCCTATAACAACTCCTTGAGGCTGCTGCTGAAGGTTCCTCGGCACAGCAGCGCAAGTGAGATGTTTGCTTACTGTGGTGTTCGATCTTGTTCTGCATCTCTTCGAAATGTTCAGTTCAGATTTATGTGTCGTCTGAGGAACTCTATTAATGTGATTGTTAAGACTCTCGTCAGCCCCGAGTTCTGCTCACTGCTGTTCACCTCCAAATTATGGACTTACTGGAGGTTATGCCTTTATACTGTTCAGCAGCTGTAATGTTCTCTTTGGTTTGTTTTCTTGTATATATTTTTTCTTTGGTTTTTTTTAACTATGGACCGTGTTGTATTGTGTCCTTAATAAAGATTAATAATAATAATAATAATATGACACGCATGAGCTGGTCCCATCTCAGAATTGAATCCCTATTTAAAGCAGCGAACGCTTTTATCTTTTGTGAAATTATGAAATTGAGGGAAAATGAATTCATAAAAGCGTGACTGTGTTTTTCCACGGACAAAACCCTCAGCATCAGAGCAGCCAGGAGACACTCTTTTATTATGGCCAAAAGTGACAAGAACATTGAGGCGGAAAGGACAGGTTGATTTTAACAATACACAATATGCAAATCACAAGCCTTTTATTTAAAAAGAAATATATTTGTCGATTAATGCAGTAGAATAGCAGTTGAAGGTGGCATCAAAGTCAACACAGATTTCAAAAAGCTTAATTATCACCACAAAAAGAATAGCTATGTGTTTGATTTTGTTTTTCACAATTTCCTCGCCATAATCAACTTATGGAATTCATGTTGGACTGTCGAAAAAGGCATCTGGCGCATCCTTTCAGACTAATGGGATTAATACTTTCTATTTGAGAGACAAAAGGCTTGAACATTAGCGGAAATCTATGTTAATTACAAACCTCCATTAAGTCGGCACAGCTGTCAATGGCAGATAAACGTGAAGTCGCTTCGATTCCACCTCTGTTCTTCTAAAAATAGAGCCTTGACTCTTTACCACACGCCGTGTCTGAAAACGTTTTTTGAAGTCACCCTGACCCACACCTCGAAAACGCTTAAACGCTTAAACGCTTAAACACTTCCACTCATCTCCACCGGAACTCTCTCTTCAGACACATTTTGTTTTCTTTTAATTGTTGTTCTTGACCTCGCTCACTGCACTGTCAGACACAACCGTCCAAATGACATTTTAGTCTATTCCAAATCTGCTTTGTTCCACATTTATCATCTGCCAAGACAAACTATAGGAGCAAATCGTATTCTCTCAAAAACATGACTTTATCTGTGGTCCGATAAACACAAGATTGATTGGTAAAAACTGCTAGGATTCTTCTTTGGACCAACACCCTGAACAATAGATTTGCAGGTTTTATCAGATTTAGACAGGCTGTGTCTGTTAATCACCATTTTTCTGTAAAAAAAACAAAAAAACCAATACCAATTCATGTCCATCATTTTAAAAGGTGCCTTATGCAACTCACTACAGAGTGGCTGTAAGAGTGAGCCTTTACTTTTGACCACGATTTCAAAGATGACTTACAACACATTTTTTCCACATAAAGATACAAAAGCACTATTAATGCCATGACAATCTAATGCCCCAATTTTGGATGTGGCGTACTTGAAATGTCAGCTGAGGAACTGGAACGTCAGTGTCTTTCCACATGTTCAGAGGCGTGTGATTAGTTCCTTGTTATTGTAGAAAGTCAACAGGCAGCTAAATCTCTCCTGATAAACAGAGGTCCTGCTCCCTGCTCCAGAGTTGAGCCACGCGGCACTGACTGATAATTCCAGCGGTGTCGCTCACTTTGATTGATGCTCCCCGGGCCGGCTCCCTCCTCTCTCTCTCCCTCCTCTCTCTCCCCCGCTCCCCCCCCCCCTCTCTTTCCGCACAAGAGAGATGTTCCTCATAAAAGATGATGCATCAAACCGCATGTGAATGTGAAATGCAATTGTTCGCTTGAAACTGTCAGCAGCCCAGAGAGGGAGGTGCAGAGCTCGCAGTCTCCAGAGCTTTGCCACAACCTGCAGTCTTTTGCTTTAGCTTTGACACTTAATTTCAGCTTCAGTAATGAAAGTGTGATGTCGCATGGGCTAGACACACACTGGGATGGAATAGGATGCTACGGTCAGTAAAGAAGACAAGAGCCCCACTTATATATCGAGCAGAAAATGCACTATAGGACCCAGGTGTATCCAAAACAACTCCACACTGTCTTGTCCTTGAGCAAATTTAGCCAGGAGTGAGTAAACAGCAATTCAAGTAAAAAGTGAATTATAAAAGAGCGGGGTAAGTACCTTTTATTTGGCATGACGCGTCTGTCTCCTCTCTTCCATATTATCCGAGGTTTGGGCGAGGCTTTTGGTTTGCATTCCAGGAGCACGTCTTTTCCCAGAGTTGCAATAATATGTATGGGGTTACGGATGAAGACGGGGGGAGAGGCTGTGGAGGGAAAACAGAGAGAACAGATGAAGAGTTTGCAATTTTTTATAATGCACATTCAAAGACACTTTTTCTTCATCATGGCATCCAAGATTTGTACATTTATGGTTGTTGTTTTTTGGATTACTGCTGGGGTACTGGACTTTCAAAGCAGTAGAATGTAACTTTATGTAATCCATCTAGTTCTTTGCTCTCAACACTGTTTGTTTATTAGCTTTTTCAGATAAGAATGAAAAAGTGAGGACCAATCAGCCAATCAGCGCTCAGCCCAAATGCTCAAAAGTGACACAGAGGGTTTTATTTACATACAAAAACCAAGGGAAGAAAGACATGGACTGCAAATGTGATTCAAATAGACAATGTAAGAACAAAATGACAAAAAGACATAAAAACGGCACTGCATAAAGTCTAAACTTGTCTGAGTCTTTCGTTTATTCTAAATGAGTTCCGGGCCGGAGCCTATTTACTATCATTAAGCAGAGCCTTCCATTTACTATGAACGTAATGGGAGAAAACCGTGTCTCCCGTTTTCAGCCTGTAAATAATAAAAACATCTACAGTATATATTTAGATCTGTTATGGAGAACAAAGCTAAAACTCTTCGCTAATGCTTCAAGCTCAGAGAAATTCCATAAACAATAAGGCCACCCTTTAACGATCACGGCCAATTAACACGCTAAACAAACACGGACGTCTTAATGAAAGCCTGAGGATCCTGCGATTACTTTTTTGGCACATGTGCGGGCGTGCTGCGCATCAGGGCCACGCATCCGCTCTGAGGCCATGTCGGCACTGATTATTCAAATACTGAGTGATGTTTTATCGGTGACGTTACAAACAGTGACAGTTCAATCCTATGTGTCGCTACAGGCTGACCTCTCTCCTCCCAACACGGAGCCCGAACACTGGCCCGAGTGGCGAAGAAGGCTCCCTGTAGGCTGGGAAAAGCACCGGGGAAAAAAAAAAAAACAGAGCAGTTGTTGTGCGTATTTGTTTTCATCAAAATAGGAGCTAGCACAGAGCTGGTGGCAGTGGTGGCAGCAGCAGTATAGCCTTATTGCTGTGCCCTCCCTGTGGAGCCAGATCTGGGACACGATCAGAAGCACGAGGGCAGGCGGTGCCCCCGTAGCCGGCGGTGATCGCTCATCTGCGGACGCTTATTATCCATGTAATCTCTCCTGATAGTGTTTGCTGCTGGACATCCCAACAGAGCACAGGTCACTGAGAAGACATGTCTGGGGGCTTCACTTATGAAAACATTCATCACGGATTTCAAATAGCATCAGGGTGACTTGTGCTCTGAAGGGGAAAGCTTATTAAAGATGGATTCTTCTTTAAGAGACGACAGGAACATGCCTCCAACAAGTTCCCAGTGTATCTCTAAACTTATATTTTGGTCTAACATTTTGTCAAGCTATTTTTTGTACTCTAAATTTACTGCCTCTACTACTGCTAAACATAGATATTCTGTTGTATGTTTTAACCTCTTTTATCTATGTATTTGAACAGAACACTGTATAATAATGAATAGCTACTGTTGTAAACACAGCGCGAGTCAAACTGCGAGGTGACAGCTCTAACTACAGCTCACCCTGTCACCTATGATGTTGTACTTCTGCAATACTCTGTCTTGAATGACTGTAAGTGAGAATAATTTCAAAGCAACCTGAGTATTTTGTGTGCTCACCCCGAACGAGCCTTGTTACAATTTTGGGAATCAATCAGACCTGAGTTGACACGCTGTCTTCATCATCCTGCTAGAGAACATGTCGGCTTTTACTGAGAGCTGATTGGCTGGATGAGGCTGATGCTCGCATTTTTACTGAAAAAGCTGATCTAAAAATGTGAGGTTAAAAATCCATGTATGTGAAAACTAGAGATAGAATCAAACTGTTCTGAGCGCTATAAGAACTAGGTGCATGGATCTTATTACATTGTTAATTGCGTGTGGTTTCGAAGGTTACAGTAAGTACTTGAGCTGGAGGACTTAGCTTTGTTGGAAATTCAATACAATGATGTTATAATGATCATATAACATCATAATCAAGAAGTTTACACACAGTAGTAAAGGTAAAGATGTGAGAGAATGACTATGTACTGCAAAGCCATATTTTGGTGTAATGTTTAATAAGAGCTTTGTGAAAAACTAAAAACTTCAATAAAGACTTTTCAAAATGCCACCGATTCCCCTCCAAAAAGGGCATGCCATACTGACAGTAAATCAAACTGTCCCTGAGGGAAAAATGAAAGGGGAATGGGTGTCACCAGCTGCGCCCCAGTTCAGGAGATGACAAGGAGAAAATAGTCCATCAACGCACAACAGTGGACGGCTATTCAGAATGACCGCTAAGTTTCTACCCCCGAGCCTTAAGTCCGCACTGCTGTTTCTTTGGCTTTTAATCTCTCAGGTTCAAGGTAGATGTGTCCCATAATTCACTGTGGCAGATAAAAAGAACTGCCGAGTTCAAAGTGCAGCGGATGTCACTGATAAAGCCATCCTCTCATGTTCTCCGCTAACAATGAATGTGTTTTTATAATTCAGAGCAGCCCGAGTAAACCATTTACACACATGCGACGGCATTTATAATACATTTAAATGTCAAAATCATTACAGACATTGGAGCGAAAGGATTCTATGTATACATAGTTCCCACAGACCAATGAATGTCACATGACCTCCTCGGAGACGCCATCTTTGATGGCACGCTGCTGTGTTTGTGCATTCCATTAAACAGAAGAATGAGAATAAATTTAGATATTCAAACGCAAATTGGAAAAAAAGGGCAACTTTTGAGCAAATAATTGTATATTAATACAATGGCACCACAGTTTAACGTGCTACGGACATGTTTTACATATTTGATCAAATTATGCAGCAAAAATTAACAAGCAATGCAAACATTTCTCAAAAACTTTAGATTTAATACCAGTTGGAGCTCCATTTAATTATTTTAATTATATTAACAATTAATTTAATTAATGCTAATGCCACACGGACACTCTGGATTGCTGTTATTGTTTATTTCCGCGTTTTTGACCGTATGTTTTGGTGACTGGTGGGCAATTGATTTTTCCAGGCGTAAAGAGCAGTTTATTTTATGACACAGATCTTTTTACAGAAGCAATGCTGTTTGTGAACATTGTTTTAGCCCACCATAGAACTATTATTATCTATTTAATACATTTACGTTGCCCTCGAGAGCCTCGGACGCGACACCGATCCTCCTCATAATAAAGTAATCTAACGCTAAATAATGAAACTCTCAAGTTACCAGATATCAGCATACACAAGTTAGTACTGAGTAAATTACGTCTGTCAACACATTATAAGATACGATACGCACCTGACACAAAGTGCTCCGAGCATATTCTTGCGTGTTTTGAGGGAGTTTCTTGCCTGTTTATCTTCGCAATCCATAACCTCCGTGGTTGTTCTGACAAAAGCTTAGTCTTCTCACATTCATGAAGTCTAATGATGGGTATACTGTAAAATCCAAGTTTAACGGAACCTCCGGCACGATTTGAACATCCATTGACCCAGCAGGAGATGACCATTTTCAACTTTATCACGACATTAACACGTTTCAGCTTCTTTTTCTATTGTTTTGCCCACAGAATGCCAACACAAATGGCGCCGGGTCGGCAAATCCTCGTATGTAGTGACGTCATGTGGGAACTATGTATAGCTCATGTTACACTACCATTTGTTCTCTATGTTCCCAGACATAGGCGTAAGAACCAGGATGTCTGCAGAGAGCTCTTCACACATAATTTGATTTAATTTACGTTCCCCAATCCACCATTTTTCTCATTTTCAAGTGTGTCATGTGAGCTTACACCATCATTCATAATTTCAGCCTCTGATTAAAAAAGGAGTGCTGATAACTGACTGAGGACTAGCTTTGTTTTGTAATAGACGACAATGATGAGCGCTGTACTTAAATCACAAATTATAGAGATACAGATTAGACCATAATGGACTCATTAAACCTCATCAACGTGCACAGAGACGTTCCATTTCTGTTGTAAGCTCGTAATTTCCTTGCTGAGAATATAGAAGTATCCATAGTCATGCTCGCCTGGATATGTGCATATAAGGGTCCTTTTTTATTCATGACGTCCTCTGCCTGGGTTAAATCAGGGACCATTGATTGGCAATCCGCGAATCTTATCTTCAGCGTCTCTGCCTTGCATTTCAATCTTCTGCACGTGTCATTGACGGTCTTACTCACATGCCAACACCCGCCCCATTTTATGTTTATTGCGAGGCATCAAAACAGGATTTGCGAGTGGAAAACTTCTATCAAAAACTTCAGGTACATATTTGGTTAATCTAATACAATTTAAGCCCCATATTCTAAAGTTTACACATTTTTGTTTAGACCTTTGTTTGAACAGGAAAGTCTCCTTTTCTAGGGAATCCTGGTCCTAGAGAAAGGGGCGGGAGTGAGGTCGGAGATGGTGTTATGGGGGACTATTGTACATGTTCTTTGTGGTCTGAGATGCCAGAGCACCAAGAAAAGACATATGCAGACACAGGAAGAACATGCAAACTCCAAACAGAAAAGCCTAGAGGTTGAATCAAACCCAGGACCTTCTCTGAAGCACAAGCGTTAGCCCCTTTGTATTTTTTGCAGTGTGAAAGATATTTCAATGCATGTTTTTCCTGCAAGTGGATTTTTTTTTAAACCTGAAAGTGTTGTCCCCTTGGCTCTAATCTTCCAAACAACATTATCTTTTTCCATTGAGAATGTTCTAAAGTGCTTTTCTGTGGAATGGTGCCTTTACAATCTTGATTCAATAATAACTCTTATTATCCATTCAAATTGGTTTGTTTAAAATATCAATATTAAGGATTAGATTTATGGGGTAACACTCCATTTGATCATTTTTTAAGAAATTATGGATTAGGGTTAGTTTATTCATCCATTTGCAGTTAACACCGCATTGTCTTCTGCATTTACCATCCTTCATTGTCAGAGGGGCCTCTGTCAGGAGCAGTGGTCACTACAGTGCAGCGCCCAGGGACCCAGCTCCAGATGGTGACGCTCGTCTTGGTCAGGCCCAGAGCTAGAGAATTTAACTTGTGGTTGTTTTGAGTGAGGGGGAAATTGGAGCACCTGGAGGAAACCCACCCATATTTGAGGATTAACATGAAAACCTCTGTGCCGCTGATGGGGTTTTGTCGTTAGCTATTTTGGTAATGGGCTGAACACAACACAGTTTTAGAAATGTAACATTCTACAATAGGAGTGTGCCATGAGTACAACAGTAATGATGTATACCTAAGATCTTGAGCTCAGCGCTGGAATAGACCGCCCCGTATTTATTTTCAGCTATGCACTGGTACATTCCCGAATCCGTCTGCTGCACTCTTTGAATTGTTAGCTCTCCATTGACAATTTCTATACGAGCCTGCAACAAAAGAAATACACAGAGCAAAGCCATTTTAAATGTAGATGTAGATTTATGCTAATACCACAAACAGACATCATGTGGCTGTACACAAGAAATAATTCATATGTGTTTTATGATCCAATCACCAGAGGAACTGGTGCAGTCGTACTGTGCGTACCTGCGATGTCAAGGGCAGCCCATTAAGAAGCCAGCGATAGGTGGGCCGGGGCCTCCCTGTGGCCTTGCACTCCCACTGGAGTTTCTCTCCACTATCCATCTGAGTATCATTAATCATTCTGACCCATTGAGGGAGGGCTGAGGAAAAAAGAAGACGTAGGAATAAAGTAGAATATATTTAAAACACAAGACTCAGGAGGCGGAAGTTTATGCACAAATACACTTTAAGAAGTGCAAAAAAGTAAAAACTCAACACAAGAACAACCTTTAAGACAAGAGTGTTTTCTGCTAAACATCTAAGAGACTGAAGCTTTGTGCGGGCGCTGTCCTCAGCACAGCTCCTCCACTGCGTTAAGCTAAAGCCTTTAAGGAAACAATAGTCGTGTCTGCTGTCTCATGCCTGTGAACATTTTAGATATAGATATTTTTACATTGTATGAAGCCGGTTTAGTGGAGAATTTTTTTTATTTTATTTTTTCGGAAGGTCACTAAACACAATGTTAGAAATGTTTAGGTCAATATGTGCATATAGAGAAAAATCTATCATTATAATCCATTATTTACTGCCCGAAAGGTTATTTTGACCATTCTCTTTGTCTGTAAATTGGTCACAATGTCAGGGGTGCTTTAATCAATATGGTCCATGTTTTGGGCTGATTTGCATAATGCACTTTTGTGTGATTGAATGTTTCTGGCCACAGAGGTCCATCTCGCAGTACAGGTTCGAACTCCGAACTGACCTTCGTAAATTACATTTAGCGTGAGGCTGCTACAAATTAGAGTCTCTTTTTTCCTGTGATGCCGACTGAAAAAAGGGTGCCAAGAACAAGGCTTTGGAAATGTGTCTGGGCAAGGTAAAAGCACTCTGTTTTATTGGTCATGGGCTCAGAGAGGAGCCAGAGAGGAACAGAGGAGAGCGAGTCAATGTGATGGCTGGCAAGAATATATTGCATGCAATGTGGTCCAAATATATCACCCAGGTGTATTCTGGAATAGAATACTGGGAATAAAAGATGGTTCAAATTGAACACATGAACTCTATTTTTAGAAGCCACAAATATAATTGGAAAGCATTTTAATGATGCACATATGCTGTTGCTCATAGGGATGATAAATAAATATAATCATAAACCTTCCATTGCTTGAAGCGAAAATAAAGAGCACTGAAGCCCACGCAAATATTTTCAGCCAAACTCAGTCCTTTAACAGCAACATGGGGTTGGTTTATCGGGCATTGGCTGGAGACAGACACCAGAATATCCTACAATTACTTACCACTTGACATTGTAATTCAAGTTGATGTGGTCTATGACATTAAAGTTTTCAAGTGTGACACACCTGGCATAACTAAACCGAAAAAAAGAGCACAAAAACCCTGAAAAATCTGTTTGGGTTTGTATTTTTTGTTGTTTTAATTTAGTTTTTTGCTTTGTTTTGTTTACCTTTTTCAATATATGAGTATTCTGTATGCTTAGGTATATGCATGTATGTGTATGCAGCATTTATTTGTGATGTGTGTATGATGTGTGTTCCTTTGTATTGTTGTATACATTGAGGTTAAGGCATTGGCCATTAGTCTAAAATAAACAAAAAAATTCATACAAATACATTTAATAAAACAATCATCAATATTCAGAACTTGTGCAATAATAATGGGTAGCACCATTGCCTCTCAACTACAGGGTTCTGAGTACGAATCCCAGTCGGAGCATAAGTAGAAATTTAAACTTTATCGCAATCACTCGAGTTTACTTGGTAATATCAAGTAAACGATGTACTCGAGGAATTCAAGTGAAGTTAATACGCAATTTATTTCCATGGTTTTTTCAAGTAAACTTTACTTGTCAGGGTTTACAGTGACGTCGGAGGAAAAGACAGCCATACTGATGCAGTGCTATTGTATATTTAATGTATTTTCAGTTCTTCATTCCCCACAAATCGAGCACACTCACAATCCATCTATTCTTTATAATTATCACAGAAAAAATAATGTAAGTCCTTTCAGACAATTATCTTTAAACACTCCGCTAACACTTGAAGTTAATTTGAGATAAACCAAAGACTCACTGTAGACCTGCAGATGACCTTTGAAAGCGGTTCCTCCTCGTGGATTTTCGGCTTTGCATTCGTAAGTCCCAGAGTCGTCTAGCTGGATGTTTGGGATCTCCAGCACAGCCTGAGATTTCCGCAGTCTGGCTTTCTTAGGGATGTTGCCATTTATCTTTCTCCACGTAATTGTTGGTACTGGACTAAAAGAGAGACAGAAAAAAAAACCAAACATTACAGACAAGTCTATTCAAATCAATTCAATGTATTCTTGTATAGCCCTAAATGACAACAGCAGATATCTCAGAGGACGTTATAGAATCTTTGAATTCACCAACACAGATCAGAGAATCAAACAGTTCAAACACAAGAAATGCAATGATGAAAACACATAGAGCCATGGGCAGATGGGGGACAGGGCCTTCTCTGTGGCTGGACCAAAGCTGTGGAACGCTCTGCCCCCCCCCCCCCCCCATATTCAAACTGCTCCTTCTGTCTTAAGACCCATTTTTATGCTTTGGCTTTTAACACTGCGTGAGTTGTATGGTCCTTTTATTTTATTTTGTTTTTATTGTTATTTTTATATTTATACATATATGCAAACACGGTTATTCATATTCGATTTTTAATGATTTTACTGTTTTACTATGGATTTGTTTTAATTGGTATTCTATTGTGCAGCACTTTGGAAACTGTGTTTATGAAATGTGCTATATAAATAAATATTGGATTGGATTGGATTGGTTTAGATGACCAATGTCCATCAATGTTGATAAATGTCCACAGATGTTAAATGTTGAGAGTCCTTTTAGTTTGACCTGCAGACAAGAGTCCAAAATGAAAAATATTCTGAAAGAAATATTTCATTGCTTTTATACATTATATAGCTAGAAAAACCCTACTCCTTTTTTTCAATTTAACATCTGCAAAAGCCGTGTACGTCAAAATTAATAAACTGGCGTACTAAATACTAATTTATTTTTGGTCCTGCGCTGAATCACAACCGAAGGATTCTCTATGTTTATTTTTGCTGATGTGTACCGTCTCCTGACCTTTTCCCTAATCACAGCCTATTTAGAGAAATGCTAATAACCAGAAGACCAAACAGAATGACGAGAGATCGCTTGTCTTGAAGGACATCTGCAAAATTAAAGCTAAGCCATTCCCAGAGCCAGGACAGTTTTATGATTAGTGTTTGACTAATACCATCTCCCCCTGTTTATTCATGGCTTCTCATATGAGCCCGGCAATATACAGCTCACATACAGATATAGAGGCCCTGTCTATAGGCCATCAATGCGCCTCTCACATGACAAGTGGTTTTGACGGCTGCGTCGAAGATGGAAATTTGACACCGTACAAGCCCCCAGTGCACCCATCAATCATTTTTTGCCCAGATGAAAATGTTACAACCCTAAGCCTTTTTTTATCTCGTCTAAATTCACAAGGACACTCCAGCGCTCTTGACTGAGATGGACTCAAATTAGAATTCAAAGCGTGTTTTCTATTAAACAAAGAAACAAACAATTGTCGCTTAACAATTTGGGTCTTGATTCGCCGGTTTTCTGTAGCTCTATAGCTGTTTGAAGGAAGTGATTCAGTACGTTGGAGGGAAATCTGCATTATCATCATTTGAACTCTAAATATTTTCTTATAGGCCAGCTTTGAATCGTATTTAAACACAAGGCAATACATTTATAAAACATTTTTGTGGGGCAAATGGGGGCGCAAAAACCATACAAATGTGTATGTTCTGTTTTGAAAAAGAGAAAAGCATCATAAAAACATATACAATTATCTCCTTTAAAACTACACAGATAAAGCTGGTTAAAAACATAGGAGAAATACTATTTGTATTGGATGTATAGACACATACTATTGGATAGTGATGGATGCAATGAGTTTCCAGCGTTTGAGTATGTTGATACAGACAACATGAACAATAGGTCACAAAATATTAAAGATAAAACAAAATACAAAATGTATTTATTACTGGTGCACACTGGGAGAGAAGAAGTGCATTGCCAGTATCACCACAAACCTATTTAGAGAATTAGACACATCAATCTTGCCTGAAGCCCGCATGAAATTAAATCCGGAAATGCTGTTGGATTGGGCTTCTGTTTCTGATGTCAAACTTTGCTCATGACCTTTCTTCCAAATAAATTGTTAACCTGCAGCAAACCACGGAATTCCCACAGGGAGCAGAGGAAGCCTGGACATAAGTTTGAGTCATCCCAGTGCGGCAGGATTCAACTTTAGAGATGGAATAATGAGCTGCAGCAGACATGTTCAGAGACAGGGGGAGGAGACCAGAGGGATTTAAGATATCCTGAAGCCAGATTTATGACTGTGTTTAGCTCTGTATACTCCAAAAGTGCAGCGTTCACCAGAGTGAAAGTATTTGAAGGAAGATAAAGAATGAGATTATGCCTTGATCTCAATCAAGGCATAATCTCATTCTTTATCACACTATGATAATGCTGTCATTTAAACAGGTTACGGTTGTGTTGATTACTTTCTACTTGTGTTAGGGCTGATTTTCAAACAGTTGAAGGAAGAGAGAAATCCTAAAATCCACCTGACTTGTTCCCATCAAAGATTTTGTCACATCATTACTATTCACACGCATGAATGTTTGATCACAAGCACAACAATATCTGCTGTTTTACCCCTGCAGTCGACACATGAAGCACGATGTAAAAGATTAGTACAAAGTTGTTTGGACCAGTGTTGGCTTTTCTCCATGAGGAAGGAAGAAGCATGTAATAAGAAAAAGTCAAAACTCTCATGAGGAAAATCAAAAGAGGACCCAAAAATGCTAGAGTGCAACTAAAAGTAATGACAATTGTAAATGACTACAAATAATACAATTAAAATCCAAAAATCCAGGTAGAAATTAACACAAAGTAATCCAGGGATAAAAAAAGCCAGGGACACAACAGCTGCCGAGATTGCTTCAAATGCTCAAAATGAAAAATTAAAAAACTGTCCATGTACTGAGAACATTAGGGGCGGAGAAGGCAACCACGGCAGGGCTAAGAACTCAAAAAAGGACACAGGAAAAACAACATTACAAAAACAAAGTATCAAATCAAAAAATTACACACCATAAACAACAACAATCTTCTTTGACTTTTAAGTAAATATTCTAAAGTACCCAGGATTACAACCACAATATACTGTAATGCCTCCACTGACTTCCTGTTACTTACGTGGCAATAAAAATTATTCTGATTCTGAACTCCTAAATTCTATACTGATTTTACAACATTTTCTTTTACTTGGACAACTAAAGGAAAGAGCAGCACATCCAACTGCCCAAACTTTGACGGTGAGAGCTCTACACGGCTCCAAAACTTGTTGTTTTCACACACCAGCCCTTGTTGCTCAGGCTGAAGGGAACAGGCGCCCTGGGAATTTTGATCGAAAACCCCGGGTTTTTGGTTTGTCTGAAAATCCTAGTGGCTCACTCATCTCTTCCTTCTGATTCGGATGTGTACGATTTAGATGAAGACAAGTTGCATCTGGAAGAGATTTTCTGTAAGGGTTTGTAAATATGAGTAGAAATGAAACCCTAGCTTTAACTCTAGGTACTTCTTCTGAGTCTGGGAAGCGCACACACGTTGACAGTCCCACATGTCCACTGAGCCGTGATTTATATGAATGTACATGCACAGTTCAGGCAACCACTGCTATGGTCCGCATACGGATTCCACAAGTTTCGTCCTCAAACTCCACATGCCATCGGCCCTTCTTCTTGGAGTACTGACCGTAAAGAACAAAGCACTTTGGTTGAAAGTCAGTCTACTCTCCCGCGCATAAAGCCGGGCTCTCTGCTGACAACATGGAGAGAGGGGGAGAGCTTTTTTCTCTGCCAAAGTCAGACACAACAAACGGATGAGACGCAGGTTAAAAGTAGGCTTAGTTAAACCCTAACCCTTATTGTCCATAAACAGAAACTGTTGTGTGTATGTGTGTGATAGAAATATGTGTTGTTGTGTGACTTGTTATGCAAATGCCATCAAGTTATTATAGGGTGCAAGCACTTAAAGAAGAAAATAATTGGCCATTAAAAATATAACAAGACTGTTTACTTGTTGTAAGGTGAAATCTTAAGCAAAAAATACATGGTAAAACAAGTCTCAAGGATGCAAATGGTATTTCCAAATTCCAAAAGTACCAGTTGCAACAACAGCCGTGGAATTGTGTCACAAGGCAAATGTATTAAGTGTAATATTCCAGATGTTTTAAAACACAACATGATGAAATGACGCCGATGAATCAAGAGCTGCACTGATGTGAAAAGATTGAACATGGGATCAAACACTTATCTAAGCGATAACAGCACTTTCTTTTCCTAATAATGTAAGATAAGATAGACTTTATTGATCTCACACAGGATAAATTTACATTTCACATCTGGCATGGATAGGAACTCTCAAGATTGTGCAAAAGAAAGAAATATGCAAACATGTTAAATGCAGGATATATTATGTACAATAAAAAGTTGCAATTCAAAAATGGCAATCATAGAAACAGTGTCAATAGTAGTGCAGGTTTTAAACACTGTTTGCAAAAGGGTCTAAAGCATCTTTGCACACATGTCCAAGTTGATGTTATGCAAAGGTTAATGCATTTCATATTCTACAAGTGAAACATAAACAAAGGTGATTCTGCAGATTTGCTTTTTTCTGATATATTTTGAATGATGGCGAAGGCTGTTGATACCTGAGATACCTGCTGAATGCTGGGATTGCCAACCTGCTCCTACCCAGGTTCCTCAAAGCTTGGTTCACTCAGCTTGGATCATTGGATTGAATAACTACAGACCTGTGGCACTGACATCTGAAGTCATTTGAGCGCCTGGTCCTCTCCCACCTCAAGTCATTAACCTCCGCCCTCCGGGACCAACACCATCCTGCCATCTCTGCCCCAGGACAAGCTCTCTCAACTGGTGGATCACTGACTTCCTGACGGACAGGAAGCAGTGCGTGCGTCTGGGATTTCTAACACAGGAGCTCCTCAGGGCACTCTCTGAAGCTCATCAAGTTTGCGGATGACACCACCATCTTTGGACTCATCTCTAACAACGATGAGTCCACCTATAGAGTGTTGGACCGGCTGGTGTCCTACTGCAGAGTAAACAACCTGGAGCTGAACGCCCAGAAGACAATCGAGGTGATTGTTGACCTCAATTCTTCCCAATGCAAAGTTTGAGTCAAAGCCAATTGCTCGTTTGTGACTTTCTGTTACCCTTATCTGATTCTGATGTTGTTATATTAAAGGTGATATTGACTAAACTAAAACATGTACTTGAGGTCTTGCTTGCCAAAGCTGCTCTAACCGTGTTCATATTTACCCTTGGACTCACCTCCGGAGCGGTGCCACTCATAAATACCACATCAACAGTCTTTGACATTCACTTAGTGCCCTGCTGCAGCCTGCGATGCCATCATACATATTGATAAGGTGGAGAACAAAACCCATTCTACTTCTGTTTGAGAGCTATATAAAGAGTGGCATTTCTTAATTAGGTGCATTGATAAAGAATTCATCTCAATGTAAAAGGGTACGGCTTGGACTGACGGAAAGCTTTCACATAACAATCAAGGGAGAAAGGCAGAAGCTGACATTGGCTGCCTGTCCTACACACATCAGGAACACCTCTTCCGGTAATGGGAAGGAATAAAGCACGGGAGGATCTAATGCACTGTCTATAGACTCAGGAAATGACTGTGCATAATGTGGTAATTAATTGAAATCAGAGTAAACAATTATGAGGTCTGGAGTCAGCTGCAGATCAGAGCATGTTTGTAATACAGATTTGCTGATGAATATTGCATGCAGAATAATTATAAATAACATTGATTAGAAATGAACAAGAATCTTCTGCAAGGACTATTTGTGGCAATATGTACACAACATATTCAAATCAAGAGGAAAAACATGTCTTTTATAGCATTAGCATTTACCACAAATAGAATGTTTGATTTAGTAAATCTTAATTAAAAGATCAGTCAAGGCTGAATTAGAATGCTTTCAAGTGGTGATGATATTAAAAGCAATGGATTTGTTTGTTTTCATCATCAAACAAGAGATAGTTGTGGATAAACTACTAGCGGAAAGCTACGGGCCAAAAAATAATCAAAACGATCCAATTATACAAAAAGGACATTCATGTAATAATTATTTTGGTCTCTGCTTGGGCTATAGTCAACCAAAGACGTTAGCTGTGTAAAAAGCGGGTGTGACCAAAATCGTGTCATCTCGGAGGACTTTACAAAGTTGTCGATTCGCCAACACAGATCAGAGAATCAAACAGAAAAATTCAAACGCAACTCCACGCACATCAACAAAATAATGTAGCTATTATCAAACAAATAAATCCTTATAATTGAAATAAAATAATCGGTTGATAAATCCTACTGTTAGCAGACAATGCATGTGGCCTCTTGGAAGAAAACTATTACCAGTTATTATATTTTTTTCCATAGACATAACCTTTACTTTTCCTCATTCATATCAGCCCCTAAACGCACCACTGGAAGCCCAACTACATTAGGGCTCTCAATTATAAGAACACATGGGTCCCTGGGGCTAAGTTTCCTATTCACTCTTTCCTAGTGCAGTAACATGCCATCTAACAAGAAGAGCTACGGTGCACCACTCTCCTACAGCCACTTAACATTCTGCCTCAAGACCAGATATGCCTGCTGCCTGTTCAGGTAATACAGTAATGTGATTTAAAGGACAGAGCCCAAACACAAACAGGATCCCCAAGCACTGGAACGATAGTAGGCGTATCAGAGTATTGGATTTGAATAGTATTAACGCAGGGCAGAGATACAGGGTGCAGGCGTTGGCATTGCTTTTTAAAAAGTCTACAAAACAGAGAAAAGTGGATTTGTTTTCAACCAATCGGGTTCTGACAATAGTTGAAACAGTAAACATGTGGTCAATGCATGCTTTGTGTTTTCTAAATGTGTTTTGTTCATCCACTAGCAATTCAGTATATTGAATAAAATGTATCTGTCTAGTATTTAACACACAAGAACATTTCTTTTTAGACTTAATTTTTTTTTAAAGGAATAGGCCACCGTTTTTACATACTGACATATGTTCTTACCTTACCTTAGACTAGTTGATATGTACCTGTCTGGTCTTTGTCCGTGCGCTCTGTCATGCAAACGGAGCACAAATGCAGCCTCTTCCACATATTGGAAAGTTCCAAATCAGCTCCCGTTAGAAGCTACCAAAATCTTCCACGTGTTCCCTATTTAAATACAGTTACGTGACGTGTTACACTACAAAGTATAGTAACACAGAAATGTAACGCTGCCTCAACTGTACTCAAACTAGCTATCCGATAAGTCTCTGCTACTACTGTACTAGAAGTCACGCTGCTTCTATTGAAGGAAGTGGGCGGGAGAGAAGTCTTTAGGAGTAAGTGCGCGGACGTAGTGCTCCTCGTATTATTACGCCTCACAATATAGTACCTCTTTTTATCTGCTGAGAAAATCGACATGTTACATTTCTGTGTTACTATACTTTGTAGTGTACCACGTCACGTAACTGTATTTAAATAGGGAAAACGTGGAAGAGTTTGGTAGCTTCTAACGGGAGCTGATTTGGAACTATACAGTATGTGGAAGAGGCTGCGTTTGTGCTCCGTTTGCATGACAGAGCGCACGGACAAAGACCAGACAGGTACATATCAACTAGTCTAAGGTAAGGTAAGAACATATGTCAGTATGTAAAAACGGTGGCCTATTCCTTTAACAAACTAATTCGCTGGTAATTAAGTGGCACTAGGATCATATTTTGATGCTTCGGGAATGGGCTTGATTTGGGATTTGTACCACACTGATGGAATAATGTTGTTGAAACGGAATCTAAACAGACAGAAGAGAATATTTATCGGAGATGGCAGTGTTTTCACTTACTTTCCCAGAGCAAAGCACTCCAGCCTCACAGTGGCTCCTTTGGCAGCGAGGACAGACGGGGGGAAATGCACTTCAATTTTGGGCTCATACTCGCCCATCACACCTACAAAAAAGAGGTCAAGGGAGAGAGAGAGATTGCACGCATTAGAAGCAGGCAAATTAAAACGAAACTTTTGAAAGTCTTCCTCCATTCACAGCGTCTCCCAAACAGCATCTTGAAATTAAAATAATGACCTTTTTTCTCCAGACAATGGAAGTGTCCAAAAAATATTAGAAGCAAGAAGCATAAAATGTAAACAGAATAGCTGACAAGTGTAATGGAATCATTTGCATAGAAATACTCTGTCAGTGAACGTCAGGCCATAACTTAGGCTTCTTTGTGAAATATTCTAATGCCATTAGTGGAGTTGTCAAGATAACATATTCATCATTTTGATTATACAGGGACTATGCCGTTACTATTGTCCTTTTCTATGTCTTAATAAAAGGGACATAACATGCTAAATAAAGTTTTCCCAGATAAGAAATCCTTTCCCTTGTCATTTACACTCTGTACATGGTTGTTTTTCAATGCAAGTTTTAGTAACTTCTTCATTCTCCTCTGACCATCACAACACACCAATGTTTTTACTTCATCATCAATCTCACTGCACTGGTTGAACTGTGAAGAAATGCAGCGAGCTCTTAAACAGGATTCCATTTATAACATCTACACAAAAGAAGAATTTTTGGTCAGTGAAAAAGTCTTTGAAAATAGACATCAAATCTTGAAAGGGCGACTGGATAGTCTTCAACAGTCAATGGTGGCAGAGTGCTAAGCCCAAGTATCAAACAGTGCCTTTTCTAGTTTGCATGTTCTCCCTGTGTCTGCCTAGGTTTCCTTCAGGTGCTCCAGTTTCTCCTACCACTAAAATACAAGTACAATAAGAAGTCCAAGCCAAGCACCAACAGCAGAGATGGGTCCCTAGGCTCTATACAGCGACCACTGCTCTTGACAGGGGCAAGGATGGGTCGCAGGCAGAGGACACATTTCCCAAGGGGAAAAATAAAGTGTACCTTAACCATAGCCTTCTTAACATTTATAAGAGTATGGGGGGAAGAGCGGGACTGGGCTTTTTTATATTTTGTGTCAGTTTTTGAAATTCCCACAAGTGACCATTAGTAGCCGATACAGACAGTAAAAACAATGTGACACTTTTAAACCAAATTAACCAAATTACATTATATGAATAGTGTTCATTGGAGAAGCTGACAGCAGCGAGGATAAAGGATCTAGAGGCTGCTTTACGTCTTAATATACTATGTTTGCAAAGAAAACAGCCTTGTCAGCTCATTGCGTGTATTTATCCAAAATAATATAATTACAGCAAGAATACAAACTGGTTTCCCTCCAACTTACTGCCCATGCTTTTAACTGAAATACTTGCTTGGCATAAAGCAGTTTACAGGTGCACATCAGAAGCACCATCTGCCGCGTCTTACTAATCGTCACCTTTAACAGAAGTGATTCTTAATGTAGCTTGTGATAGGTCAAACACAACATCAAGCAGCTCTAATCACTGCATTTCTAAAACTACTTGAATTAGAAACATGCAGAGGCGGCATGCAGCCTGTATGAAACCCTTGTGAAAAAAAGAATTACATATCTAAAAAAATGCAAGAGGACATCTCCATTACGTTGATGTAGTTACTGTGACAACAGAGATAAGCACTGTCCCGTCCTGTTGAATTAGCAGAGCACTTTACAAAGGAGCAAACCCACACTAAGGACACATGGCCGCGACTTATCCCTCTTGCTAAGTGCCAGTATGACTAACACCTTCGCTCAAAGTCTCCGCCAGAGGACACGACTTCTTTTGTTTATTCATCTGTACGTTACGGCGGCCATTAATAACCATTTGCCAGGTTGATGTGTCGGAAGGCGTGAAGTAAATTCAGAGTGGAAAAGAAAAACACTTCCATTCGGGATTTAATTACCATTATCCATCTTATTATATGAAACTTTGTGCTATGAATATTGCATGAGTCTTTCAGTGGTTAACAACCAAATATTAAAATACATGCATTATTTGTGTTCCTGTCGGCCCTCCAATAGGATCTTGAGAATATTTACAACAGTAGCTCATGTTTAAAAATGTGAAATAATTTATGTAGAAAATATATGAGAAAATATGTATATGAACAAAGAAAGGAGGTTAACCCTTTAGGCACTAGAGTAGATTTTCTAAATGAGAAAATCTGGGATAAATTGTGAAACACCTCCATTTCATGGTAGAAGCGGGAAATCACATTCGGCTTTATTTGTAAACATCAAACATGTCACAATCTAAATGAAGGCAAGCTGTTCAAAGGAGCGTGGTTTGACCTGAAACATAAAATCCCATGACATACCAAGTTTGCAATCAAAAAAATCAGACAGAAGGGGTGTTTTGTGCACAGAATGTACATTGCCCCTTTACTGTTAAAGAAATCTGGATGCGTTCATGCTCAGTTTGTAGAAAGAGCTATGCCCTCACCTATGACCAGTTGTCAATACCTTGATTAGCCATGGTTATTTAGCAGTTGCAGAAGCTTATAATGTTGTAAGCACACTACAACAGTTTACCACCGTGCAATTGATAGTATTAAGCCGTAAAATTAACATTGAATGAATAGGACACGCTCAGAGAGCTGTGTGGCTGCAGGCACCAGTGAGTCCAGTCTTAACCTGAAGACTTGAGGAAATCGGTAGAGTCTGATGTGCTCCTGCTTGGTTGGAACTAAAACCTGCAGCCACACTGGCCTTTTCTAGAACCAGTTTGACACCCCTGGTCTAGATGATCTGCATGCATTGCTGGCAAGTGCGTGGATAAAAGACAAGACACAATGGCCTAAACTTCAGTGGCCCACATCCACTTAAAATTTACATTTTTTTTATTGCCATAGACTGTAAATATTAATGGACGTTGAAACTTATGTGTGATCACTTTTCCCTCCTGCCGATCTTTTCAAAATGGCCGTTTTCAGAGTGGCCCCTCCGGCAGGAAAACACTTTCGAAAAGCAAGCTGTATCATGCGCGCATGTGTTTGCCGGCACGAGCTTGACACATTTAGCGCTACATTTAAGTCCATAGCGGCTAAACTAGGCCGGTACAATAAAAAAATACTGGACTGTAGCATTGAGCCAAGAGCCGACTTTTGGATCAGCCTGTAAAACCGTTTTTGAGAGGAAAAAAGGCAGCATAAGAATTCATTGGATAATTCTGTTTCCGGGTACGCCACCACAGGCAAGAAGTCAGATTACAAGCAGGTCAGCGCACCTGCTCTTGGACCTTTCTGAGCCGGGATCCGCCTCCGCTGTTTATTGCGTTTGTCAAAGCAGGTTGTTCAGCCAACAGCACAGCAAGACCTGGGGGTGTGTTTACTTCCTGCAGATCTCAAGCGCAGTAGAGTACGGAATGACGACGGCTGATAATCCGTCTGTAATCGACGTAGATTGAAGTCTAGGTCTGTTTTTGACCAGGATGGAATGTTGTAACATGGTTTAAAACTTTTTGCGAGAGAGTACGATAGCAGCACAGATGGACACAGAAGTAGTTCACGAGGGATCTATTGGAGAGAGTGCGGGCGGTACAGTACACACACAGTCAGACAAATGACCGACATGACATTTCAGAAGCCATAATTACACCTCCCACGTGTACCTGACAGTTTTTATGAGCTGGAGCGAACGCAGCCAAGCCAGACGGAGCTTATTGAGTTGTGGGCCGTGATGTATGGAAAGAGTATTTTATGATATTTGTTACAAAGAACTTTTCAATTTCAATCTCATTCCCAACATTTACGGCTCCAAAGCAGCCCTTCACATAAAATGAATTTGCAATATTTCAATGTCCCGGCATATTTCATGTGATATTGAGTTTCCAAGAATGGCGATTGCGTTGAATAATAATTCTGTCCTCCATGCAATAAACTATAACATTCAATTTGTTAGAAAAAAACACACATCTCCAGTGTTACACCCTAAAGGCTTCGATGATGTATGATCTATACGTAGCATGACTTTCAGACCTGATGACCTTCTGTCACATGGTATATAAATAAATTAAACTGCTTAGGACCCTGGTGGGTCAGAAGCAGAGGGGCTGGTGCTATGTGTACTGGGTGTAGCTCTGACTGCCACCCCCCGACCCAGAAATGGATTAAGGGGAAGAAAATGGATGGATGCTACTGACCCACTGTCACTAGAATGAATGCAATTGATTGACAGCATTTTACACTGATTTTACAAATTCGTAAAACATATACAGTATACACTTTTTACGGTGTGTATTGAATTTATTGAATTCATCAATTCGGTGTGTATTGAATTTATTAATTCATTAATAAATCCATCCATCCATCCATTTTCTACCCTTTAATCCATTTCTGGGTCAGGGGGGTGGCAATCAGAGATGCCACCCAAGTCTCATAGCACCAGCCCCTCACTGACCCTCTGCAGGTGGTGAGTCCACAGGAGGACGGCTGCTCTCTGAGTGTGAGCATAGCCTTGATCTTTCAGCTGGGGCTTTGGGCAAAGTGGGGTTAAGTGTCTTGCCCAAAGACACAAAGACAGCAGTCATCAGTGGGAGTCGGTGGAGAAGGTGTAGAGGTGGGAATCAACAATGTTCAATAAAAATGGCGAGTTTCACATGCCTGATATAATGGGAAATGGCGCAAAACACAATGGGCTTTGGTAGAAAGTGGCAGAGTTATCATTGTCATTAATAAATTATACTCTATGAAAATAACGGTGACATTCAATATGGTTACAGGCACAAGGTCTTAGATTATAATTTAGAAAACATGACCCTTGCAGATGACGTGTGTCGGCTCGTATTATGCTTCTCAGCCATCACTGTCAAAATACAGAGGGAAAGCAAGTCCAATGTGACTGGACTTTGAAACTTAGATGAAAGATGTCTCTGCCTCACTCTATGATCCTCATCAGCCATTATCATATATTTAATACGTTTGAATTTCAATGTCAATATACAACATTGTTTTGAAATTAATCCAAATCATCCTCTTATCCTATATTCAGAAAAGCAAATTGTATTTTTATCTTTTGTACTGTTTTTTGTT